CCTACTCTGCTGCTCTCACAAGATGTAAAGGACCTAGCAACACACACACACACACACACACACACACACACACACACACACACATTTTGTGTATGATACTTCTTACAACCTTCCCGCCAGTCATAGAAGACTGGCATTTCTCACCCTCTATCCAGAGCCCCTAGACCCAGCTCTCTTATCTGTTTCTAACACCACCACACCAGTCTATTCTCAACTCTCTGGAAAGCCTCCTCCCTACTTGCCTTGAGCTTCCTCTACCCAGTCTGCCTCATTATCCTGGGCAGTAGCCCCCAAACTAGGACAATGAAGCCCTGGTTCATTCTCACTGATCTAGAGGCTGGTACACCTGCCCTTGCCCCCTACTTTCTAAGTTATCTTGCCCAGGAGATTAATTTTTGCCTAGCTGTTAGCCAAGAGTATTTTTCTGCTGTGATGTTAATCTCATCTGAAAACGTTCTGTCTTCTCATTATTTCTTCTCCACCCTAGAATATATAAACTTCTACTTCTTTGGGTTTTATAAGCATTGTATGCCATCTGGCATTTACCACCTTGTAGGACAAAAAATCACTAAGTCGTTAAGACTTGCCAGCAACTGTGTGAAGCAATACTGGACTCAGAACAAAAACAGTGTGTCTCATCTGTAAGAGGACAATCTACCAGGGAAAGGCCATGTTGCTTAATATATGCAATGTTGGGGTGGCAGAGCCAGAGCACATGGAGAGCAGTTCATTCAATGGAGGGACAGGGAGTCAGGAACGTTTCACAGAGGAGGTCACATTTGAACTACCCTTCAAAGTAGATTTTGAGAAACAAAAGCAACTTCAAAGGTTTCATTTTCCACATACATTAACTTGTCAGGGTGACCTTTTGCAGTGAAATTTCCCCCTAGAGATATCAATCTTCCAATTTCTCATTGACACCCTAATCAGGTGTCACAAGTGGTATCCACTATCAATCCTCCCTGCTCCATGCCATGGGCAGACAGCTGTAACTGAACCCAGAATCCTTCCTTGACTGATCAACTCCTATCAGATGCTCCAGTAATAGATATAAGGTAAAACCAACAACCCTTCAGTACTCGAGACTGTTGACTTAGCAACTCCCACATTCCGTCCCGGACTGAATAGATGCTTGGGACAGCTGGCTAGTAGCATCACCTGAGATTCAAAGACTTCCAGATTTCAGGCCACACCCTTCTGGGGTGGGAAAATCTACAGTATTGCCTGAAGCTTCTCGAGTGATCCCAATGGACAGGTAAGGTTGAGAATAATTCTACACAGAAGTCTAATGATAGAAAAAGCTCAATACATTGTCTCAGGGGGGTGGAATATAACTCAAGCTACTGTTCCAGAGGGCATCTCTCTGAGCAAGGGGAGGCTCAGAGGCCAACATCTGGTCCATACACAGAAACCAGGAGTGAAGACCTGGCCACACAGCTTGACAATGTCACACCATCTAGATCCTGGGCACAAAAGGCTGAACTGGGCCACTCCAGGGCTCAGGAACTGGCCTATACATCCTTTCTCTTTTTCTTTTCCAATTAGTCACCACAGTATGATGTCATATCAACTCAGTAATGGTCATTTCTTATATTCGTTTCTATCTTTAATAAATGGATAAGGATTAAAGCTGTGAGAACAATCAGCATAACTAAATGTGCTTAATTTTGTTCAATTAAACTTTCCCCCCTAAAGTTATTAAATTTGCATACAGCAAAAGAAAAATGAACTGAGGTAACTTAAAAATCAATGAAATGGTATTTCATTGCATTCTAAAGAGTCTGCCTTCATAACCAGAGTACCAGCATCATTCCCATTTATTGTAAAGTCATCCTGACATATGTATGTAATCATTAGTTTGGGGTTAGAGATAAGTAAACATAGAAAATATTTACTTTGAAAACCATGCTAGTATCAACAGTGCTATCCTAAGCTCTTTACCTCTCCATTACTTTACAATGGCTCAAACCCTTAAGAGAAAAAAAGTGTTTTTGACTTTTACATCTTTTAAGGATTCCTGGATTCCTCTTCCTGGAAGAAATGGGAAAGAAGTCTGCAGAATTTCCTGCCCCTTATCCCCCACCACCCAATATGCTTTCTCACATACCAGTTTGGGTGCAATGAAGTTTAGAATCAGCTCCTCTGCACTGAGAGCAGTCTTGCTGATTTCAATTGGGAACTTGCAGCTGTGGGGCAGGGAGAGAAGGGGAGGTGGGGACAGTGGGCCTCTGTGACCTGGTAGTGGCCCTTAGCTGATCTCAAATACAGGGAGAAGACGGAAGATTTCTGGGGGCAAAACCAAAATAATAAGGTGGCAACTACATTTTAAAAAATCCTCACACACCACTGAATTGTTTTCTCCTAGACAAAGCCATGTTACAATGGAAAGTCTATTTCATAGGATTTTTACTCTCTTCCCATCTCTGAATTGAAAAAGAAACAAGGTCCAGTTTACAGCTTTAAAATATTTAAATGATCCACTCATAATTCCTACAGGCTATGGGTATAATGACCTTATCTGTTCTTTGTGCGGTACAATTCGGGTTAAAGGAATGTCCCCCTAGGACCGGAGAAATGACTAGGAAAATAAGCTCCAGATCTCGGCAGCCTGGTGAATGGCCTTCCAGCCTGACCATCCTAGATATACCAATCTCAAGCAGCAAGAACAGCACAGGTACCACATGAAAACTGGTAAGAAACACAAATTATGGGGTTCTTGCCTTAAACAATGGACCCAGAAAGTTTTGAGGCAGGGCCAGCAATTTCCAGGTAACTCTGATGCCCATAAGAGAATTATATTAGAACATCCCAACCCCAGAGATGTTAGAATCAGGGTCCCACTGTTTTTGAGTTAAAGCTAAAGCTGCCTTTCCTCCAGAGTCCTGCAAAAGCTGGCAAAAACACAGACCTTGATTCAGGAAATGATATCAAACTGCCTGTGGTTAATTGAAGGTAAAACAAATTTTCAGCCCCCATCATTATCCCCAATACATCTGTCCTTCGCAGAAGAAGAAAAAAATCATGTGAGACTTGCCATAGATACCACAAGTTTGGATAATCTACAACTTCTGGCCACCACTGGGTAGCGGGAGTGCTTGTTCTGGGCAGGGGCCTGCATTCACTGCACCTTCCCGGATGCTACTGTACCTTCCTAGATATCACTGCACCTTCCCAAATGTCACCACACCTTCCTGAATGTCATCAGGCTTTCCCCAAGTCAGGACCACAGCCCCATGGGCTCTGCCAAGGCAGCCTTTCTGAGCACCACACCAGGACAGACACATTCCCCATGTTTTTCATGATTTTTTTTATTTAACATATATAGTACATGTAAACAAGTGGCATAAAATCCATAAAAATACACTCTTCTATTCCCCCCACATCCCTCCATCCTGCTGTCAGGAGAGCCATGGTGTCAGGGCCACGGTTTTAGACTTGTCTCACTATGGAGAGCTTCGCTTTGAAGATGCAGAATAGCGAAGTCAGCAGTCTCCTCACCATCCTTACTCCCCTCCTCTAAAGCAAAAATACTGTAAATGCTAAAATATGTAAAACACTGAGCTTTAATACTGCTTGGTCAGGTACATAGAACCTGATACTACTGTGTTGTCATCCAGGTATCTGTGCCACAGCACCTGCTGCCAGAGTATTCCAGGCTGTGTATCAGAGTACTCCAGGCTGAGTAACAAGAGTACTCCAGGCTGTGTATCAGAGTACTCCAGGCTGAGTAACAGAGTACTCCAGGCTGTGTATCAGAGTACTCCAGGCTGAGTAACAGAGTACTCCAGGCTATGTATCAGAGTACTCCAGGCTGAGTAACAGAGTACTCCAGGCTGTGTATCAGAGTACTCCAGGCTGAGTAGCAGAGTACTCCAGGCTGATGCCAGAGGATGAGAACACAGGGTAATGGTAAAAGTACTATGGGAGAAATCCTGTGCTAGGTATTCAGTGTCCACTTGAAGCGCAGGGGACACAGCTCATACCTTCCCTCATACTCTCCCCCGCCCCCCCCCCCGGGGCATGGTGACTCCACAGTTTTCTGGATCTCCACATGACTGCTCAAAGGCTGCTCCTAATCCACAACCCCTCAGCGGTGTCTCTGAACCCTGAATCTGCTAAAAGCCACAGAAACAAAACAGTCAACAAATGCAAAGGAGCAACCACAAGCCATGAAACACAGAATGGAGAAGGGAGGAGGGTGTCCCGGGAAGGGGATAGCTCTGGAGTAGTGGAGGCATGGACAATGCATCCCACATCCTCACTGCTCAGCGGCACGTGCTGCATCTCCGAGCAGGCAGCAAGGCTGGGCCGTGGCCATCATAAGAAGGCAGAGAGAGAACAGCGCTGCTGTGGGCCCGGGAGTGAGGACTCGGGTCTCACTGAGGTGAGTCTGCCTATGGCTGACAAAAACACTAGAATTGATGTGAAGTCAGCAATGGTTGTGGTTTGCTTAGGACTTAAACCTGGAAACCATTCTCAGAATCATCAACCTTCATCAGTTTGAGGACTCTCACTTGATACAAACTAACTTTTAAGAAACAAAAATCCAAACAAGGAATTCAAAACCAGTTTGGAAATTTTCCAAAATAAAAAGAGAAAAAATAAAGGGGAAAGATTCGATATACTAGTTCCTCATAAGAAAATAATGTTTTTATGAACCAAAATTATACCAAAAGGCTTAAGGCTTTGTCTTATTAAAGACAGACAGTCTGGAAAGTAAAATGGAAAAACAAATACAATTTTTCATTTATTTTTGGCAGAAAAATTAGTCACGTTCTATTATCTTAATAGTAAAAGAAAAATTACCATACGCTACAGTCTACTATAAATTATGTCTACTCAAATACACATTAGTTTCTAGATGCATTATATTTGAGGTTGTTCAAAATAGTTTCTTAAAACTGTAGTTAAGCATGAAAAAAATTTAAAGTGGTTTAAAGGTATTAAAATATAAACATTTGAATACTAAAAATGAGAAAAATACACATTTACTGTTTTTCTTTTTTTTTAACCAAGAATAAGTACTTGTAAGCATCTTAATGGGTAAATAGCACTTATTTGACAAAAAAAATGTGGGGTGAGGGTAGGGTTGTGACCATCAGGCCCTGTGGCTGGAAGTCCAATGAGTTGGTCCTGCCCACCAGGGCCAAGAGCTGGGTTGGTCACAGGCAGGAAAGCTTCATTCCAAGGGTGGCACAGAGCAAAGACCAGAGGAAGGGAGGGAGAGAAGCAGGAAATTCCACATGGCACTTGCCCCCTCCCCATCACCTGAACCCAGTGTCAAGAATTATGGGAATGCTCAAAGGCCAGAGCAGGAAGGGGCCAGAGCAAGGAAGCCATGGTCACGTGCTGCAGTGTCTGCATCTGTGCCTGGTCCCGCACAAACATTAGGCCAAGTCCACGCATAGATCATTTGCATAGCAAGTCTTAAAGGCTACACTGAGAGAGAACCAGCTGAGGCAATCTAAGTCATCTTTTTAGTCAGATGACATTCACGTTGACCAGATGAAATGTGTTCTCTGTGAAAAACATGAATTCTAGGGGGTTCTGAGTCAAAGGAACACATGACTTAGCAGCATCCCGGCTTGCTCTGTGCGGCTAGGTGGGCTGGGCTAGGCTGGGCTGGGCTGGCATCACTCCTTGACAACTTCCAGGACTTTGTAAACACTATTCTGAAACACCGTGGTGAAGTAGGGCCTGGATTCCTTCACCAGCACACTGCACAGCGGCGTCTTCCCGGCATTCCCAGGGTCTTCCACATCCCAGATTTCAGGCATGCTGCAGCCAGGCCTAGGAATGAGTGCCCAGGTTAAAACCACATGCATTTCGAGGCAACACACGTGCTTCTCCTGATCCCATCCTGCCTGCCTAAATCAGTGCAGTTAAGAATCCTGAGACAGTGGGAAGGGGCCTATGAAGACAGAGACAGGTCTGCAGAATAGGCTGTTTTTAATAACATCATGTTTTTAAAAGTAATCAATCACTACAAAAGTACAGAAATACAGACCTGAAAATGTAAGAAGAAATGGAAGTTGTTGCACTATTTTGGGAATGTGGCCCGTTTTTCATTATTCTTTTTAATAGTTATAAAGTCTCCCATGTATTTTTGACCATTCCTTCATGGACAGGCATCTCACAACAAACACAATTACAAACATTTCTTAAGTCTATAACCCCGTTTAAGTTAAACTTGCCTATGCAGTGCTGCCACTGTGTTCAAGTACCACAACTTTTACTCTGTCTCCCAAGGAGTTCTTCCCACAAGGGTCCTGGGAAAGGGTTCAATGTATGTTTCTTATCACCAAGGACACCACCAGCAAAAATGCTAACATGGTAGAGTTGGAGTTTTCCTCATCTTCTTTTTTTTTCTTTTTTGCTGGTCTTGAGACTTGAACTCAGGGCCTGGACACTGTCCCTGAGATTTCTGCTCAAGGCTTAAGACAGCTCCACTTCTGAATTTTTGGTGGTTAATTGGAGACAAGAGTCTCTCAAGTTTGTCTGCCCAGGCTGGCTTTGAATTGTGATCCTGAGATCTCATCCTTGTCTGAGTAGCTAGGATTACAGGCATGAGCCACTAGCACCTGGCTGGGTTTTCATCTTTCATTTCCTCAGCCTTGTCAAGGCGAAAGCATTACAACACCAAAAGGCCAGAGGGCGTAGTAAGACATAGAGGAAACTACCTTAAGTTTCCCAGAGTACAACAGCTCAAAGGAAGAAGAAGAACCAAGAGCTGCCCCCACCACACCCCATGGCTGAGGCATAAAGAAGATCCCAATTTGGTGGAAAGCTTGGTCAGAAGCTGAGTGTCTCTAACACAAACGCCAGCGGATGGCTGCCTTCTTGCGGCATCCTCATGCCAGCATTAGAGTTGTAAGCACTCTGCTCTAAGCTCAGAGAATGAAGCTAACTGAAGTAAAGCTTTGGAAAAACATCTAGGGCACGTAAGAACAATTGTGAATTTATTAATTAATGCTAATATAATCCTTTTCAGGCAGGATATCCATGCAAATCATTATGATAAACCAGGTATGTGATGTTAGAAAAGAAGATTCCAATCTAATTATCTGTAAAGCTTTTCATTCATACTTAGCAAAATGTGGTGTATGTGTGTGACCCATGTGTGCATGTACATGTTACATGTGTATGTGTGTGACATGTATATGTTTTGTATTTATGTGTGTATATGCATGCACAAATGTGTGTCTGTATGTCATGGAAACAATACCAGCAGTCTGCTATGTCTTGAACTTTCTCTGTCCCCTGATTATAAAGAATTAATGTTAAACATTACTCACTTGGATCTTCTGACACACCATGATTCTTCTAGAATGTAATAATTCACTTTTAATTTTATCAACTCCCGCTTTACCTCTTCAGCAGCTTTTCGACTGTACATTGAGTAGACTATTTTTGTTCTGGCTCTTTAAAGGAAAAACAAGAGGGTGAAAATGTTGAAGGTTAAAGGGATACAGTCAGCACTATTTTGGAGAAGCACAGACTAGACTAAGAGGAAGACCGACAGAAGATCTGGGTCAGGGATCTCATGGGAGGGTGGGCCTGCAAGAGAGGGTGAGGTCAGGGCCCTACACGCACTGCAGGTCCCAGACACCCAGGCTTCTGTCTCCAAACTCAGTTTCTTGGTCTGTTCTCTTGCTTTTGTTTTCAACATCTTTACCACCCCATCTCATGTAAGGGGCTACAACAAACCCAGCCCCAGACTATTCTCAAGAGGCCATAACCCCAGCACCCAATGTGAATAAAATTCAGTATCACATGGTCCTCCGTCTGATTTCTAGAGTTAAGAAAAACAAAACATCCTATAAAATTGTTCTGGAAATTAGCTTGCAGAAATTGATTTTTTTAATGAAAAAGTTTTTCATTTATAAAATATACATCCCGCTCTTAGGCAAAATAATGTACTAACAGGGGCTGGGAAGGTGGCTCAGTGGTAGAGCGCTTGCCTTGCATGCCTGAGGCCCTGGGTTCGATTCCTCAGCACCACATAAGCAAAAAGAAAAAAGCCAGAAGTGGCGCTGTGGCTCAAGTGGTAGAGTGCTAGCCTTGAGCTGAAGAGCTGAGGGACAGCGCCCAGGCCCAGAGTTCAGGTCCCACGACCGGACCCAAAAAAAAAAAAATAATGTACTAACAGAATGTGCTTAATCATTCAGGAAATGAATAACTTCACCCATCCTAGGTATACATCAACATTAAATCTATTACTTCTAAAAGGGTATTAAAAAAAAAGCAAGTCCCCCTAAAAAACAACAACAAAAACACCTTAGGTCATTTTAGGAGGACACATTGATGAACCAGATGAACCCTCTTTGAAGAGGATAACATTTCAATGTACACCTCAAAATTCCAGAAAAGCAGTGGGTCAGAAAAAATTATTCACAACTGAGTGTTAATGGGTCTCTGGGCTGCAGGACTGACTTTATTTCTACCTGGAAGCAAAGATACCTCTAAAAGTCGAAGTGTTGCTGCCTGTGGAGCCCTAACAGCTGGGATTCCAGTCAGCACTCAGCCCTTGGGGTCAGCCCATGAAGCCCAGCCCCTGCCCCTCAGCTCAGCCCTGCCTCCTTGGCTGTGTGGCTGCTTCCTGTACTTGCTGGTTTCGCAAAACTCAGCTAGGACAGCCCGTGCACCCACCTCAAGCCTGCGTCCTCATAGTGTGGGTGATTCACAACGGGCCGCAGTGCAGACAGCTTCACGCTAGCCATGGTGGGCATGGCGCCCGCAAACACTGCATCTGCAATGAGAAGAGGTCTCGGGACACTGCGCACCCCTCATCCCGGTCTCTTTACCCAGCCTGGTGACTTCACAGTGGACGCAGAGTGAAGCCACACACTGACAGATGGGAGGTCAACACTCAAGCCTGACTCAGCTATTTTCCATGGGAAACAGAGTCCAGCCTCCCACTTCTAAGGTTTTTCGTGTGTGTGTGTGTGTGTGTGTGTGTGTGTGTGTGTGTGTGTGTGTGTGTGTGTGTGTGTGTGTGTCGTGTGTGTGTGTGTGTGTGTGTGTGTGTGTGTGTGTGTGTGTGTGTGTGTGTGTGTGTGTGTGTGTGTGTGTGTGTGTGTGTGTGTGTGTGTCTGGGAAGCTATCAAATTGACTAGCAAAGTTCCACAGCACAGAGGAACTCTGAAATATGACTTTATATTCAATCAAGATGCCCTCAGTCCTCAGATGACAAGTCTCCTTTCCACACATGAATAAAAGATCACAATCCACAACTCAAGAGATGTGAAGTACTAAGATTAAGAATTCATAAAAAAGCATAACCAACTTAATGTTAAAGTGTTATAAATTTAGATACATTTTCTAAAATTCAAATTTATGGAAAACAGTAAAATAAGTTAGTGAGAAAATATGTACATTTCCCACGATCCATTTAAACAGAATGGGTATTTCCTTTCATTTTAACATGAGGGTGAGTGTGGGGAATCTCAGTCAGAGATGACTTTTTACCTGGTTTGGTGCCATGTGTGATCTACTCTACCTCGTCTGGGGCTGTCTGATCTATTTTACCTGGTTTGGTATTGTATCTGATCCACTCGATAAGTTCTTCTTGGGGTAAGTTGCTAAACTCTCCCACAATGTTCCACTGGGTTTGCAGATTTGCTGAACCTTGAATGGACATGGCAGCTAGCACAGCAAAAACCACAGCACCTGGATGTACTTTGTAGAAGAGCCACCCAAACAGCTGAAATTGGGAACACATGACAACCATTAGCACAACAGACCCTTCCCCTCACTCCCCTAGATCAGAGCTAGGCTAGGCCAGTGCCCCAGATGTGGTGTGTACCCTCAGCAGAGGTTCTGGGAACTGTGACCTGGACCAAAGGGAGGCCAACATCAGCATGTGGGGTGGACCTGAGTGCCAAGTTCCTCTTGTAACTCCTGCTTGCATTCAAGACCCAGGAAAGCCAGGGGAGCAATGCAATACAAGGCCCCTGTTGCAAACCACTAAGAAGTTCAAAGCAGGCCAGGGATTCAGAAAAGGGCACTTGCCTTGCCTGTGCAATGCCATGAGTTTTACCCCCAGCACAATACATAGAAGTCCAAAACAACAGGAGCAAGGAAGACTGGCCCACACACTGGAGACCAGGTCACTCGGAGCTCTGGACTTTGTGCAGAGCAGACAGCCCTGGTCCACCCTTGGGTAATACTGTCATCTTCCGGCCGTAGTACAAGACTGAAGAGGAAACATTTTGGTGTCCTCTGGCCACCTTCCCTGGGCCAGCTGGAAAGCAGCAATGGAATGGTAATGCCTGTCTAACGGAGGTCCACCATTTGACAGAAACCCTGTGACTGGAGCTGGCTCCACTCAGCCACAGCACTCTGCTCCCTTCCCTCCTTACACAGAGCTGATTTCAAGCTTCTTAAAGGCATAATACACTTTGGCTTTGTAATTTTTCCATTCACCACTCCTCTCTCCATTCTCGAGCCCAGTGCTGGTGTTCAGTAAACACCAGCTGAAGCTAGGGGATGCTGCCCGTGCTCCTCCTGGTTGGTTGATGAATGAGAGGGCAAGGTGGCAGTTATCAAGGAAACCAAGCAATACACAAGCACAGCTGGATTAAACTCAATGAAATGTACACTTGGTCAAAGTGCAGTCAATGAAAGGATACCCAGCGACTGCACACTCGGTGAAAGTCTACCCAGTGCATGTACACCTAGTAAGTGTACATCCAGTGAACGTACACCCAGTGAATGCACATCCCAAACTTTTAAGCCTAGTAATGAACCACAACATATAACTTTTAAGCATAACTGGAAATCAATTGTTAAAATTCTTTGTGATATTAGTATTAAAAATTATTCCACAGCAAAGTTCTGTTTCTCTCAGCCCCTACATGGTCACCAGTGAACTCAGCTGTACTGATTTCGTGTTTGTTATATGTTGAGGGCTATTTTAAAAGTTGAAAGGACAGACAGTGGTCAGCTTTGTTCAATACCCTTTAGGAAGGACAAGCATAAAGGCATGAAGAAGAAATGTAGCCATGACAACCACTCAGCATCAGGGCTGGCTGAACCAACCCAGCAGCTCTGACTCCACCCCCATCATCATGTCACCTGGCGGGAGCAGATCAAAGATGCCATCACACACATGTGCGGTGTCAGGAAGAGCTTCAGCCTCATAATCAGGATGCCAAGGACAGTATATGCCAACAGTTGCAATGCATGATAAACCAGCTGAAAAAGAAAAAAAACAGATGATTTGCTCCCATTTGTGAAATTTAAAAATATACTGCTAAAGATACAGGAAAGGTTTTTTTTAGTAACAAAAACGAATGCTTCTTTGATTTCTGAAATTTCTAACGTTTTTAAACTTTTAAAGTTTAGTTTCAAACTGTACCATTTGAGCAATACCTCTTCCAGTCTGCTCAGTCAAGCCTGCCCTTAGTGGAACCCACTTTTCCATTTCCCAGGATGTTCCCATCAGACTGAGGCACGAAAGAGATCAAAGAAATGAGTGCTGCCCTGAGACCTCACTCAGGCCTGATCTGCCAGGACAGCCAGGTGAGGTCTCTAGAAGCACAGGCAGGTTGGGCCTCCAGGAGGAGGACAGACAGGCCAGGCTGGGCCTTCACCACCCAGAATCACCTGCCTGGGCTCGCTACCAGAACGGAGAGCTTTCACCCCACTTCACTGTTTGACCAATGAAAGCTCAGTGAATCTGCAGACAGTATCTCATAAATACATACTGGGCTATCTTACGGCAATGAATGACAACTGTCATGAATCTTGCAACTAGAAAGGCCCTAAAACAAGTGAAGGTTAGTAATGTTGTCTTTACCTCGCCATGATCAAGAAGGTGTTTCCTGAAATGGAAAAAACAAACAAACATGTAATCACTACCTAGCATATCAGTTCTTTGCATTTTTACCTTGAAAATTCCCCAGAGCCCCATTATGTAAATCAAGACAACAAACTGATATAATGAAACTGATGTTACAAAAGCATTTAAGTCAGCTTATTTTAAACATGACAAGGGTTCATTATATCCTGAATATTTGATGACCTGGCAATTTACTATGTCCATTGCGCACGCCATGGTGTCCCAGATTCACCATGGGTAGTATTTAGCAAGATGGAGCAAGAAGACCCTCTTGGCCTTCTTCCATATACCTGCATCCCCCTGGTGGGGCCTCAGTCCCCCTCCCCCCCTGCCTCCCCCCTTTTCCCTCCTTCCCCGGCTAAAGCTACAGTGGTGACAATGTGTGACATTCACCCTCTCCCTCCAGGAGGCACTCAATACTAGCTGTGGCATGTATAAATAGCCACCGCAGGCCACCCTGACCTCTGCCAGCACCTCTCACTTGTCAGAGGATGCATGCTTAGTGCCAGGTTGCCTTCACCACCCACTCTTGTCTAGGTCCTCTTTGTATACCACACAGTCTCTCTTGGCTGGTCCCATTTCTCATCCCTGACAACAACTCTTCCTGCTTGATCATGACCCTTCCACCTCCTCCTGCTCTCCTACACTGAATGAACCCTCCTAACACTGGAGAAACTTCTGGCTCCCCACGACTAGTATCCTCTCCCTGGTTCCCCCTCCCCTGCCACTGAGTTGGGTTTCTTTCCTCACAGAAAACATTCACATCTGTGGTTTTGTTACCATCCCTCTCAACTAAAATGAATCCTTTGGAACCCACCCACCCAGCCATCCACCATCCATCCATCCATCCACCTACCTACCCATTCATTTATCCATCATCTGTTTATCCATCCATCTACTCACCCACCTCCCTATCCATCTGTCACCTATCCATCCATCCATCCATCATCTGTCCATCCAATATCTATCCACCCATCCATCATCCATCCATCCATCCACTCAATTTTGAGGAGCAACAAGATAGAAAAGCATCTTCAACCTCAAAGAGCTTGCATAGAAGCCAAATAATACAAAGGCAAAAGCCATGTGTTTTGTAGAGAACTCATGGTAATGAGTGCTGTGAAGAGCAGTAACAGGTGCAAGATATAAAAGTGTGAGTGTTAGAAAAGTACACACTGATCAGCCTCACCCAGTGACCTCTGAGTGGGGCCTGGTAGAGCTGAGCAGGGCACCCCGGAGCCCCTGCAGGAAGAGCATTTCCATCAGAGAGGAGAGAGATGCCAAAGCTCCATGTAACGGAGATCTAGTGAGCAATGGTGTGAAAGGAGGAGATGCCAGAGGGAGTCGGGGCCTAGAGACAGGTGAGGGTCTGGTTTACTGTAAAGTTCTGTAGAAAACTGATTAGAGCAACTGTCCATTTCAGAGGCTCCCATTGCCGCCGTAGAGGATGGACCTGGGCAGATGTGTGAGGGCAGAGGCAGCAGTAGTGAGGGGATGGCAGCACCAGGGACCAGCATGGAGGTGGGCACTGTGGTGCCAAGGACAGAAGAATTCTACAGGTGACAAGGCCAGGCTTTACAGGTGGTCTAGAGACGGTGAGAAATTCAGACCAGGGTGAAAATGAGGCTCAGATTGATTTCTGAGTTGTGCCTGGGAGAACAGAGGTACCAAGAGATAGGAGAGGTGTGGAAGCATCTTGGAAGGGGAACACAGCAAGAGGTGCGATGTTGTTTAAAAAAAAAAAAAGATTCTCTCTCAACACCCAGACTGTTAAAATCACATGTTCAAACCTGGAGTTCAAAGGAGAAGTCTGACAGAGACAACACACACCTGTAAGCACTGAAAATACTCTAAGACCTAGACTGTGACTAGACCACTGGCCTCCTGTGCCTTCTAATCTGGGCTTCATGTAATCTGATCTGATAATCTGGCTTCAACATACTGATACAATAGTGAACATAGTAAATATTCAGAGCAGCTATAATGGTAAAATGAACTCCTTTTTCTTTCACGCCAAGTGAAAACTACCAGGTCCAGTTTCTTGAGCACCTACCATGTAATACATACACTTGCTTGGTACATTCCACCATGACATTCTGACCACTTGTCATCAGTGTTTGCAGCCATGGTGGGGAGGCCAAGAGCGACTGGTCATCCTACATTAGCCAGGACTGTTTCAGGCTTATTTCAGAAGTGATCCGTTTTCTACTATATAATGCTCCTTCAACCTGATTTCTCCTAGGTCTGAGTCAAGGTTACAGTACTATTTCATTTGGATACTTAAAAACTAAATCATTTGAATATGTAAAATCTATCTCCACTCCATCACGGCGCAACTTCAGTTTTTATGCAAAATGAAGTCCACATGTCACTCCCCTTCCAATCGAGCCCCAATCTACCTGCATGAAAATTCTATAAAGCTCCATGGAAAAGTTTTATGAGCTGTAGTCATTTCTGATGGGACAGCTCTATGTGAAGAAGACCTGTAGTTTGCCCATGCAGGAGAGTTTTACATGATGAAGAGCTATAGTCACTCCAAACAGGGCAATTCTACATGGAGAAGAACTGTAGTCATCCCATACAGGACATTTCTATGTGAAGAAGAGATGAGTCACCTCATACAAGACAGTTCTAGATGAAGAACTGTAGTCACCTAATACAGGCAGTTCTACGTGAAGAAGAGCTGGAGTCACCCCGTACAGGACAGTTCTATGTGAAGAAGAACTATAGTCACTCCTAACAAGGGTGGTTTTATGTGGAGTAGAGATGTAGTCACCCTTATAGGACAGTTTTGCTTCTGTGAATAGTCCCCTTTGCCTTCCAAAGCTGCACCTGCACACTAGAATTGTCACTTCTGCAGCTCTTTAGAAACCCATCTCACCTCAAATGAGGAAAACCCTGGCATTACCCACCAGCACCCTTTTCCTTTTTCCCTGCCTATCAGCTCCAATGCTTCCAGTGTGAGGAGGGCATTACAACTACACTGCGGAGGGGAAAGGGCTGAGTGTGAGGCTACCACATTCCAACTACTGACTTGGAAGGAGTGGCAACATTCTCCAGTTGTGCTTACCTTGTGTGTGACTGCTCCTTGCCTACCACACCCCACATATCAATAATGATCTGAAAATAAATTTTCAAGGACTTTAGAAAAGCTGTTTTAAGGGGGAAAAAAATCAAAATTTTAACAGAAGCAAGTTCTAAAGACCTGCTCTTCTTCACAGACTGGAGTCTCTCTAGACTGAGTAACACCTGCGAATTTCATGTATAGAAGGCCTAAACATGTCATTGAGTTCACCAATACATGGATCATCTTAATTTTATTTTCTTTGATCAATGATAATACCAATTTAGAAGTTATAGAAAGCTGTAGAAATCATTTATAGACAAATATTACATATTTTAGGGAACTATCATATAAAACTATTATATAAAAAAGCAATTCAGTAATAATTTACATAAATAACTTTATGTTGAGTCAATTTGGCATCTGACCACATCCTCCAGGACACATGACCATTCAAAGTTAACATGATCCTCTTATAGTTGTGAGTTTATAAATGTTCATCCAAGGTTACCATTGCAAAAATATACAATGTGTTTCAATAAATCAACACAAGACACTAACAGTTCTACATCTACCCAAGTATGTTCTTAACTATTAAATAAAAACAAGACAATTCTTAATCCTAAATTGGGTATTGAGTGATAAGCTCACCTTTCTGACAATTGCAATGAATATCACAAGGACAACTGGCAACAATAACGTCTTCGTATACCTCAGCGGAGTCTGAAATTCAGAGATACTCATTAGAGCAAGAGTAACAAAACAAGAGCTCATTCCAAAGAATGTACTCTTCTGCTTCTAAAAATGTTCAAGTACAGAATATGAACATTGCTTATCAAGTTGAGTTCCTAAAAATGTGTAAGTATAGAGTATGAGCATTTCTCAAGGGTCTAGCCCACAAACTGACTTACACAGAAAACTGAAACTAAGGGAATATGGGCATTGCCACGGGAACAAAACGTTGAGTTGAAAATACTGAAAACAGATTCCACTGTCCAGTGAAAAAATAACCAGAGGTGACTCTTCCCTCACCCAAGGTGGGTGGAGCTCTGTAAAGGCTTTCTTGTATACTCTGTGCATTTCTGGTTTTTGTAGGTCATGGTTCTCCTGAACTCTGGGCCTATACACGCTGTCCCTGAGCTCTTCAGCTCAAGGCTAGCACTCTACCACTTGAGCCACAGCGCCACTTCTGGCTTTTTCTGTTTATCTGGTGGTTAATTGGAGATAAGAGTCTCATGGACTTTTCTGCCCAGGCTGGCTTTGAACCTCAATCCTCAGATCTCAGCCTCCTGAATAGCTAGGATTACAGGTGTGAGCCACTAGCACCTGGCTACTCTGTGCATTTCTTGTACTATCTATAATACACATTTCTGTGCACTCACACATATGCACTCACACTCAATGACCAATGTTTATGAAGGGTACAGGAAGACACTTTCTCATTTTCATTAGTAGCAGAAAAAATTACAGGAATATTTAGTTAATGGTGTTAATAACAGAGCCCTTACAACATTGCAATCCTCTCTGTGTGTTTTGATTATCTCCTACCCCTCGGCACTCTTATACCATACCTGCATGTGAGTTAGGAAAGTCAGGCAGTACTGTTTTGCTCAGCGTCATACATAGTAAGAGCCCTACCAGGTGTGAGGGAAAATCACACTAGGTCTACCCTTCTCCCCACTGAATGGATGTGCCAGAAAGGGCACCTGCCCTGAACTGGCAACCCTGAACTGTTCAATTGTCCCTGCATTGTCCCGGAGTTCAGATACCCATGGAGACAGAGCCGGAAATGAAGTCATGCCAGGCCCTGATAAATAATTTCTTTCACTATAGAAGTTACAGACAAACCCTTAGCAGCCTGCTTGAAGTCCTCAAGGACATACCCCCTCGCTCTGATGTTCACGGACCCCCTGATGGAGTGTACCCTTCTGTGAGCAGATACCTCATGTCCAACGTAACTCTTCCTCTAAACTCTCCCCATGCTGCCTCTGACCAGCCAGCCTGTGATAAACCATGGTCTCCATAACAAAGGGCACAGGTCAGGAGGGAGCAGCATGCTTTAAGATGCCTAGGACCAGAATCCTGATGCCAGGCTGAAGTGAGAGCGTGCACCACGGAAGTACTGCTGGGAGACACATTCCTTGAAGGAAACTGTGCCCCAGATGATAAAATAGAACAAATCACACAAATGGCAAACATATGTATGTTTTTGAACCAAACCAACTCAGTGCTACAAAATAATACTTTACTTAAACTATAAAAGTCGGCTAGGTGCTGGTGGCTAACACCTATAATCCTAGCTACTCAGGAGGGAGGCTGAGATCTGAGGATCACGGTTCAAAGCCAGCCTGGGCAGGGAAGTCTGTGAGACTCTTATCTCTGATAAAGCACTAGAAAACTGGAAGTAGCACCATGGCTCAAGTGGTAGAGTGCTCACCTTGAGCTGAAGAGCTGAGGAACAGCGCCCAAGCCCTGAGTTCAGGCCCCATGACCAACAAAAAATAAATAAAAATAAAAAATTATATATATATATATATGTACATGTATATATAAGTCCTTCCCTAATTTTGTCTTCACAACTTGTCTGTAGCATTCTACCAAAAAACTAGTAGCAATAACACACTTGTTCAAGACCATTAATTCACACTACAGGCTTCTGTCTCCACACACTCTATCCTGCTCTCTGGCTTCCTCCTAAACATCTGAATAAAGCATTAGAAAGAGAAATGTCGGAATGAAATTGTGTGCGCGATAATATTTATAAGCAATGAGGTCATTTAAACAACCATAAAATGAGAGGAAACCTGAAAGCTAGCGCCTGATGCATTAATGCTGCCTTGGAGTAGAGGCAACTGAAAGCCTCTGTGCTCACCCAGGCAGAATGTGGAGGCTGCGCTCAATGCGTATTTCCAACTTGCCAGATGAAAAGGCCACATTCTTCAAGGCCCACTAATGTAAACAGGAACATCATTTTTAAGCTGACAGATTTTCTTTCTCCTTTCCCTTCAAACTGAGATAAGAGTGCTGCAGAACCGGAAATAACCAGACACCTTTGTGTAATGAAACTGGTGGAAGCCCGGAAGGAGACTGGAAGTGACACCTCACCTCCTTCTCCATGAAGTCGAACTCTGCCGCACAGGTGTACAATAAGGTGTCAAAATCCTTGTAACTGAAGAACTTTGACGTTAACAGGTTGCCAATATGAGCCTAGTAAAAAATAAAATGAGGTTACTAATGACATTAAGGCAACTATTATAACAGGGTATTTTAGGCTTCACTGTCTCTAGGAGTCATTTTCCTGCACTGAGTTCATTGTTTCCAAGCTGGGCTGTTGTGCTGAAGAACAAGTTGCCCGCCCACCTCCCACCTGCCCTTTACTAGGTAGGGGACCCCAGCCCCTACCTAGGCTCTCACCAGCACCAAAGGTGCTCGGTTCTCCAGGGTTTCCTTCTCACCCCCCACCCCCAGTCAAGGAGGCATGGGCTGTGACCTCACAGACCTCACTCAGCCATGTAGCAATGCAGACTATGGGGTAAAGAAAGGGCAGGCTCATAATGGATTCCACAAATCGACTGGGAAGCCTGCTTGAAGAAGCAGAATCCAGCGCAGAGGACACTCAGCTGCCTTCTGACTGACATCCACTCTCCTCCAAGTTTGTATGTCAGCAAGCACTCTCAGACACTGCCACATTACCTCCCCCTCAAAAACAAGATGAGGAAAGTAGAATTCCTTTTACTTTACAGTGAACTTCCCAGTACATTATGATCTAAAAAAGTGACAACTAGGCCAGGTATAATGGCTCATGCCTGTAATATCAGCTACTTGGAAAGTAGAGATCATGAGAATCACAGTTCCATGACAATCCTAGCCAAAAGTCAGTGAGAGCCCATCTCAACAAATAAGCCCAGAATGATCATATGTTTGTGTTCCAAGCTGTATGGGAGACACAGGTAGGAGGATAGGGGGCTGAGGCCACCTCAGGGAAAAACATAAGCTCCTATCTGAAAAGTAACCAAAGCAAAAAGGGCTCGCAGTGTGGTTCATGTTGGTAGAACACCTGCCTGACAAGCACAAAGCCCTGAATTCAAAGCCAAGTAGAGCCCTATCCAAAACCAAAGACTAGAGAAAAAAGAGGACTTTCTAAGACTAACACACCATAACCATGTAGAATAAAAGGTCCTGGGTGCAAGGAGAGCTGACAGGTGACAATGCACTGAAAAGCACTTCATCTTTGGGGGAAGAACTAGAAGATGATGCATCTAGGAACCAATAGGAAGAAAACAGAGACCCAAAGCTAGAAGGAAGCCACCCCAAATACAGGGAAGGAAAATGTCAGCACAATGACACTGCCATCTTTGTAAAGAGCTTAAATTAACTCATCACAAGATAGATGCTCAAACTGGCTTAAGGGGAAAAATGTCCAACCTTATATGGTCTACAAAAAATCAACTTAAAAGTAGAAAAGTTGATAACAAGAATCAAAGAAAATAAAACAGGTCAATCTGAAACAAAGAAATGTAAGCTATATTTTTAGTGTTTCATAAAACCAAATGCAAACAATACATGAAAGAGATAATGGTGCCATGAACAGCCAGGCAGGTCACACAAACAAGTGTGCTGACCAATAACCACAGAAAAGCCAAGTTAGAAAACACTGAAGGAACTAAACTGATGAGCAGACACTGCTCATTGGGAAATTTAAACACTACTCCACAGAATTAAAAAAAAAAAAGATAAAATTCACATGAATTTCAGGGATGATGCACCACACATAGGAAATGCAGTGTGCAGGCAATGACTCACCCCACAAACACACGCTAACCATGTGACACACCTACCTGCTACCAGCTCAGCCCTCCCATCATGACACAAACACACACTAACAATGTGAGCTGACACACTGCCCACTGCTAGCTCAATCCTCCCCCTCATGCTGCTGCTTCAAAACATCATGTTGCACATGACAGATACATACTACAGTATCTTTCAAGTCAGAAAAGTGAAAATTTAACTTTCATAGCCAAGAACACAGAAGACCATTTCCCATATGTACAAAAGTTTCCATAGGAATTTTGGCTAACTACATCCGGTAATAACTCTTTTAAAAGATGGTTATGGGGGATTTAATTTCTTTTTGAGTTCTATGTATATTTTAGATATGAAGTCCTTGTCTGTTGTATGGCCAGTGAAGACCTCCCAGTCCGTGGGTTTTTTATTCATCTTGCTAGCTATGTCCTGTGCCATGCAGAAGCTCTGCAGTTTCATGCAATCCCATTTGTCCAACCTTCCTTTGATTTGTTGTGTCTCTGGGTCTTTATTAAGAAAGTTTCAACTTTTGCCAAGGAGCCCTAGTGTTTCTCCTATTCTTTCCTGTAATGTTTTCAGGGTGTCTACTTTTACCTCAAGAACTTTGATCCATTTGAAGTTGATTCTGGTGCAGGGATCTAACTAGTTTTCTAAAGGTGTTTAACCAATTCTGTCAGCACCATTTGTTGAAGAGACTGTCATTATTCCACTCTTATTTTTTTGGCTCCCTTATTGAAGATTAGGTGGACATAGGTCTGTGGGGTTAATTTCTGGGTCTTCAGCTCTATTCCATTGGTCCTTAGGCCTGTTTTTGTGCCAGTACCAAGCTATTTTTATTACCATCACTTTATAATAAAGAGTTTGAAGTTTGGCATTCATATTCCTCCAGCACTGTTCTTTCTGCTAAGGATTGTTTTTGCTATTTGAGGTCTTTTATTATTCCATATGAATTTTTGGATTGCTTCCTCTATTTCATTAAAGAATAATGTTGCAGCCCGGCACTGGTGGCTTACGCCTATAATCTCAGGAGGCTGAGATCTGAGGTCATGGTTCAAAGCCAGCCCAGGCAGGACAGCCCATGAGACTCTTATCCCCAATTAACCACCAGAAAGCTGGAAGTGGTGCTGTGGTTCAAGTGGTAGAGTGCTTGCCTTGACCTAAAGAGCTGAGGGACAACACCCAGGTCCAGAGTGCAAGCCTCAGGACCAACCAAAAAAGAAAAAGAATGATGTTGGGCTATTGGTGGGTAGTGCATTGAATTTGTAGATAGTCTTTGGCAGTATTGCCATTTTCACAATGTTAATCCTCCCAATGCAAGAGTATGGGAGATTTTTCCACTTCCTTAGTTCTGCTTTAATTTCCTTTTTCAGGTTTTTAACTTTTCATCATAGAGGTCCTTCAATTCTTTAGTGAACGCCTAGGTATTTTAATTTTTGTGGGGCTATTACAAAAGGAGTTGGTTTCCTGATTTCAGCTGTGCTCTTCTTGTTATTGGCATACAGAACAGCCATTGATTTTTAAGGGTTAATTTTATACCCTGCTACTTTGCCAAAACTAATCCTCAAAGAAGCAACCACCCCATTAATAAGTGGGATAAAGACTTAAAGAGAGACTTCTCTGAAGAGGAAATAAGAATGGCCAATAGAGACATGAAGAAATGCTCATCATCTCTGGCCATAAAAGAAATACAAATCAAAACAACATTGAGATTCCACCTCACCCCAGTTAAAATGGCCATTATCAAGAAATCTAATAACAACCAATGCTGGTGGGGATGTAACCAAAAGGGAATGCTACTAAACTGTTGGTGGAAATGTAACCTTGTTCAGCCATTCTGGAAAGCAGTATGGAGGTTCCTTAAAAGACTACACATAGAGCTCCCCTATCACCCAGAAATCCCACTTCTGGGCATTTACCCAAAAGACCACAAACAAGGCCATACTAAAGCTACCAGCATAACTATATTCATTGGAGCACTATTTACCATAGCTAAGATATGGAACCAATCCAGATATCCTTCAGTAGATGAATGGATCAAGAAAATGTGGTAGAGAAACACAATGGAATTCTATGCATTCATCAGAAGGAATGATATTACTCCATTTGTAAGGAAATAGACAGACTTGGAAAAAAATCGTATTAAGTGAAGTAAGCCAGACCAAAGAAACATAGGCTCCATGGTTTCCCTTATTTGTAATAATTAGTATATGTCTAAGGTAATCCTAGAAGAGGATCACAATATGTCAATAGCTATGTACAAATGACGATATAAGATGATGCTAAGTGAAATGAACACCAAGATATGGAAACAAGAGGTTTTTCTTTGGTGGTGTTGTCTGTAATGTTCTATGAAGTTATTTCTATTCTTGCGTTTTTTCCCCCCTATGGCTTATCCCTTGTTGTCACTGTATTTGATTATGGTACCCTGTGTATTGTATATACGTTTATCTGAATTAGGGAAGGTTAGGGAAAACAACAAAACTGTGAGACAAAGGACAAAAGGAAAACCAATGCAACAGCAATACTTACAAGACAACATATTGGAAATGAACTTTATAGCTTGGGGGGAAGATATTGGGGGAGAGGAAAAGTGGGAGAAAAACAAAGGAGGGGATAACAATGTTTGATAAGAAATGTACTCATTACCTTACATAACCCTTTATATAACCTTATGTAACCCCTCTGTACATCACCTTGACAATATAATTAAATTAAAAATAAATAAACAAACAAAAGCATGGTATATATAAGCATATATGAAATGGGCAAGTTCTTCCAAAGACACAAACCACCCAAGTTCACTGTAGATGAATTAGTCCATTTCCTAAGGAAGTTCAATTTTCCACCAAAATCTACTCACCAAGAAAACTCCTGGCCCTAGGGGCTTTAGCAGTACATCTCTAACATTTCAAGAGAGAGACCAATTCTACCCACATTCTCTGAAAATGGAGATTAAGCAATTCCTTAACATTACTCTTGAAACCAAACCAGACAAAATCACTCCAAGAAGACAGCCGTGTGTGCACGCATCTCCCTGTAGGAATCTGAGCCCCCAACGCTGACCAGAACTCACAGCCAGGAGGACAACACTGTGCAGCCACCAACCATGCCTGACTGTGGGCTTCCAGACTGAGGGTGGATTCCCCACCCCACAACAACTACAGAACGAGACAGAAATGTCACAAATGGCCATTTCAGGTTCTAGGAAGCAAGCAGAAGAAACAAGGCATTGGATGGAGTCTGAGTAGAAGCTGAGTCATTTCCCCTGCATGGGTAGCTCTGTCCACCATGGCTCATACAACTCAGCTTGGCTCATGCTGGGATTAGGGAGCAGTGTGATTCTGGAACAGGCTGATTTGTGACAGTGTAAAAACACCTGCTCAGGGGTATTCCCCTAATAGCCATGTAGTCAGCAGGGAAGCAGAAGGATGGCAGGTGACCACTTGTTTAGAAGGATGGCAGGTGACCTCTTGTTTCTGCCAGAGCCTGGAGGGGCAACCCCAGTCAGTGGACAGAAACCAGCAGGCTGCCATAGACGTCACAAGGAGGTGGAAATGAACACTGACCAATCACTGGCCCACATGATAAGTTACAAGCCATGTGAAATGATACCCAGAAAGCCAGGCTAAAAGCTAGAACCTAAAAAGAGTATTAAAAAATAGTGCAACAAGAGATTGGAGGCATGAAGCAGTAGAGCACTGCCTAGAAGGCATGAGGCCCAGAGTCAAACACCATATCACCAACAAAACCAAAAAGGGCAAAGCTATTATGCACAGAAAGAATGCTTAACAGTTATAAAACAGAAATCTCAGTTTATTTTCTCTCTTGGCCTAACAACAAAACAAACAAAACACTGCTCTTACAAAGCCTAACTTGGACAAATTTAGCCATGATGACTATAAATGAACCTGTCCCAAGTGCTAAGCCAGAGAAGCAGGTGTCAGAGTGCTCTGAATCTGCGACTAAAGGGATTGAGAGAAGCCAGAGGCTGGAAGCAGGATCATAAAATATGGGTGGAAAGCTCTAGTTTTCTTGTTTCCAATTTTTTATCTCTTTGTGATATAGAAGGATCAATAAACAAAGAGAATTCTACCAAGAAATGACTAAGAATTATAACATAATCACATTTGTTTCTTTATATTAAAGCTGAACAGATGTCATTTTAGAGTCTGGTTTAAATAGTGCCACACTAATAATCCAAATAAGTTAGGCTTTCCCTCCTGGGTCTTTCTGAAGCCTGCTACACTTAGGCAAAGTTTGTACTTACATCATCTGTGATGCCAAAAACTCTAGATGTCAAATACTTGAGGACAATGGTCCCAAATAGCCAGAAACATCCTTGGATGACCTATAAAAGATAAAGAAGACAAAACAAAACTAATGTCATTGCTTCAAGTGCCTAAGGAAAGGAGATAAATGTTCTAACTTCACACCAAGTATACTTCTATCTCCAAGAGAATCTTACTAAAGATCTGCCTTAATTTAAAATAACGCTGTTCCTGAATGAAGGGTTCTAATTAAAAATAGGTTCTCAACAGGACTTGCAGTGGCATGCTCCTTCCACAAAGGCTCACGTGTGGCTCCTCCCAGCAGAAGGGTGGTATCACAATACAGGAAGTGGACACCCTTGACCCAGCCTCAGATCACTCACTCCTCTACACACATTAAACTGAACCCCCAGCATGTGATAAACCTGGATCCCATGCACTACATACCTAGGTCACTTCCATAGGAATAAAACATAAACCCAACAATGAATTCTAAAATAATGTCTGCATTACAACATTTTAATAGGTTGGTTCTTACCCATAAACTAAGTTCAGACACATTCATTTTCAGAAGGTATGGTTTTACTGCCAGTACTCCCTGAATAGAGAACATAAAAGTTAATACTTACAATTATTCCAAACAATTAGACTTGCAGGAATCTAAAATTAAGCACACTACGGAGTCTCTACACTTCATCACCATGCTTATTTTGAACACTTGCCTTTTTTATCCCAAGTACACTAGGTCAGTTAGTGACTTTGCAAAGTGAAAAGGAGAATCACGATTTATAATTTCATAACCCTGGGCATCAGAGACCTGGTCAAATATGAATCAAGAATCACCAAATGTAAGTTCATTACCCAAGTAGACACAAATCTAGTCTATCCTTGAACCAAGAATTTCCATTTGTAAGTTCCTAACATAGGTCATTACTAAGGATAAACTACAAATCATATTTCAATGGATCTAAACACTTCTCTGTAATATCCAGTCTTTCCCAGGTATATGGGCTCCCAAATTACATGACAGGGGGATAAACTTAGTCGAAATAGTTAGGGATCAAAACTTGACACTGGAAGTTTTCAGAAGACTGAAGAACATAAAATACAGTATCATTCATTATTCAAGTTTCAAGTGATCAAATGCAAATGCAAGCATGCATGCATGAGCATACTGCCTTCTATCATTGCTGGCATACACATATCTGAAGTATGCGTACATACACTCCATTACATACTACAGTGAGAAACACCTAGCAAACTACCAAGATTAGATGTGCCTACAGGTGCTCAACTGAACTCAGTGACATTTCCTGATAAATGCACTTAGATTAGCTTTTATTTACATGCAGTATTCAATAGCTTCCCTGTGTACAAACACAGTTATAATTAGCTTTTATTTACATGCAGTATTCAATGGCTTCCCTGTGTACAAACACAGTTATATATGGTATCCTGAGTGCACAGCAGGCTCCTCAGTGTAGTGCAGAGTACAGAACTAAGAACATTGTCACATGCGCTATGTGTGTACATGTAGTCACACCTCCTCCCCACATGCTACTGCTGACTACTGTAGCCAAATATACTAGACTTGAATACCTACAGAGGGTGGTGGCCCAGGTTGGGAAGAGGCATATTTTCAGGAAATAGGCATTAAATTACTAGTTGTCAAATGAGAATTAAATAAGATGCTCCAAATTTATTAATGGTTCTAAAAATCACAACTCCAAAATGTTCTGAGTAACTGAAATGATAACTCAAAAAGCAGAAGACATTCACAGCAGGACAGTGTGGTAGCCAGTGTGAAAGTGAAAGCTACCTAATGCTAAGGCGTAACCTTAATTTGCAAAGAAATGGGGTAGTAGAATCCCCTGAAAATCAGCATTACCATTGCTGCAGGTCTAACTTCCTTCACACTGTTATAGTTAGACTGAAACTTAAGAGAGAAAAGGAAAAGGGAAGCAGAAGAATAAAAACATTTCTAAACAAACCTCCCTGAGACCAAAACACAGAAGAGGGGGAAGCTGAAGGAAGAGAAAGCACAGGCTAGGGCCACTGAAGACAAGTACCCTGCTTTCTGGTCTCAACTGTCAATGGTGTCCTGGAATGAAAACGAGCTCTATCACACAGAGAGATGTGCTAGAAATGGTTCTTGCTGAACCCACTAACAAATCCCAAGCCAGTGATCAACTTATCAAAAAAACCCACCATGTTCTTAGGACCATTTACTTACCCAAATGATTACCAAGGAGGAAGCATAATAAGACGTTAATAGCATTGAGTTCCCAAACATCAAAACAAAACAAAGTGCAAGAGAAATCTGGAAAAATCCGAGAAAAGTGTAATTTAGTGCACATAAAACAAAAGCAGTGACGTTCATTGTGAAAAGGGCATAGGCATATGAGGGCCACAACTCAAATCATTTGAAAGGGGATACACAATGAAGAGAATCCACTATTCATCACTTCCCTCCCTAAAGACAGATGGAGACACATTCCATAACTTCCCTCTCTAGAGATGGATGAAGACAGAACCCATGGCTTCCCTCCCTAGGGATGGACGGAGACAGAGCCCATCTACAGTATCCTGTGCACCAAACTAAAGAAATACTAGCTCATGTTTTATTTGAAGGCACACTTGCATATCACCAAACCAGCCTAACTCATTCTATTAAAGGATGGAGAGAAGCACTGCACTGCAAAGGTGACACAATTCCCTGTCTCTGAGGACCACCAGCACCCAGAGCTCTCCACCGCACCTCCACACTGTCTCATCCTCTCACATCTAATGTCCACACCACCAAGTGGCACACTGCAGGTAAACCGCCCGAGTGGAGTTGATGGACCAAAGATACACACATTTCAAATTTTAAAGAGTGTTAACAGATGGCTCCCTATCAATTGATTCCCCACAACCAGGGCAGGAGAGTTCCTGCTGATTTATATACTCTGGTGCGCACTGCTTATTCCTTTAAGAACTTTCCAATCTAATTGGGAAAAAATAATATATCATTGTTTCATCTTTTTATGTTTTTAATGGTGGATGAAAAACAGCAAGATTTTATATCTGTTGTGTATGTTAAACGTTTATTTGTGTGTGTGAGCTGTTTTTGAGTACTGTACAATTTTCTGTTGGGCTTTGTTTTTCTTAAAAGTTACTGTTATATACCATAGGACATACATATTTATCCATCAAACATACTAAAGGATTTTTTCCAGATCATTTTTTAACCTTTGAAGTATTTTTGTATCACAATTATTTTCTATAATCTTATGTTAGTCAAAATTGTCATTTCCTTTAGCTATTCAAGATTATTTATAAACCTTTAAAAATAATCCATATTATCTGGAAGTTTCATATTTTATTTACATATGTATGTGTGTGTGTGGATATATTCCAATGTGAATTTTAGAATTAGCTTTAGTTTTGAAGACTACATTTTTATTAAGATTAGTTTCTTTAATAATATACACTTAGAGTAGTATTTGTCTTAAAGGCACCATACATTGCTCTCTTTTTTAAAAGTCTTCTCACATATCATAGTAAGTATAAAGTTCTCTTCAGACCAATTGTGCAATTTTCTTATGCTTATTTTAGAGAATATTATTTCTCTTACTGTTTCTGTTACTATTACTACTTCTATTCCATAAAATAGAAGAAGGAACTCTACCAAATTCATTTGATGAAGTCAGTACTACACTTATACCAAAATCAGATGACATAAATAAAAACAACTAATAATGGCATATTATAATAGCACTAAGATTACTAGGAAAAGAAACCACCTAATTTATATTAAAGAGTTAATGACAGAAAAAAAAAACAAGTTTTCTAAGAGACAAACATTCATCAACATCAACCTTGAGTTGAGTTGAGTTGAGTTGAGTCACCAACCCACAAGGCCGTTCCAGCAAACCCACATACACACTCCTCTGTAATCTCCAGTAGCTAGTTCCCTGTCCCCCTACTCTGCCCATTCCCACCTTCCACCTCAGTCTTCTACCCTCATGTGGGCTCCTGACAGGCCCTGCTAGACTTGTTTCTTCTTCTTTCTTTAGTCCTTGCCATCTTCATTGCTATGTGGCTGACACTGTGCAGACACTGATCACTAGGCTTGTCTTGCCTGCTCCCAGCTCTACTACAGCTCAGCCACATGACTGCTGGTCTCTGGTTCTAGTCCCTGTGGGTCCCACATGTAGGCAGGAGATGCCTATGAGCAATCCTTCACTTCATGTGAGCAGATGGCGCCACAGATGCAAAACCCAGCACATTGTGCTTCACTTTTATGAATGTCTAACCAAAAACTCAAAATGGGGCACAGCCTCAATCAGATAAAAAGACCAAACTAAAATATTCTGTGGGACCTAGTAAAACAAAGTCAACTGACAGCATACAGTGCTGAAATGACACTTATCCACTATGAAACTAACTGTAATTCTATACAGCTAGTTTGATTGGGAGTTTAAAATCAGATCAAGCGGAAAGCAAAAGATAAAAGAATTACCATGTGTATATAAACGATCTTCCGTAGTTTAACTACATCAATGTACCCCACGACATGCACTGCAAATAAGGATGCAATCTGAAATTTAAAGAGAAAGTATGTTAAAAATAAAAATCACATACTAAACAAATATCTGTAAGAATAAAGATTATCTTTACTGGAATGACTTACACAGAAAGTAAGCTTTAGTTTTCCTTTTATCCGACAAATGTACTCACAAAGGTAACAAATCCTGGCTGACTTCCTCCTCCCATATGCACTAGGCTCTATGTGACTGTGAAAATACGCTTGTTCCTGTGTGCTGGCTACTGCACCAGGCTCCACTAGTGTTGTTTGGTTGACATCAACAGACACATAGCTATCATTCCATTAACTGGAATACTACAAGAGAGAGTTGGGCCCAAAGGTTTTTACCTCAGGGATTAAACACAAAGAAATCCATAAAAGAAATAGTTTACTTAAGAGAAACATTTATTTAAAAGTTGCAGCCCTCCATATCCTCCAAGCCTATTAACAATAAATAGCAAAGAAATTAAAATCTGAGTTCAATACCTGCTCCTAGTAAATAAGTAATATTCATTAATAATGAATCGCACACATTTGCTGCTCTAACTTCTCTTAAAAGCATTAAGCAAAAGTTTTGTAATTCTACATATACTATTTCTGTGACAATATTATACAACTGAGTTCACATCAAAACCACTGTGCTAAGTCAATGTAAGAACATAAACATGGTACCTGAGTAAGAAGTACAAACTGAGCAAACTGCCATGGAAGCATGAAGAACACATTGGATATGCAGAGCGCAATCAGGCTTCCTCGGTAAAGCTTTGTAGCCCTTGAAAGATAAAATAACTATCAGTAAACTTAACCACAAAATGGCCTAACATGCTCCAAACTGCAAATTAAGAGTCTTACACGATGTGGTTCTAACTCCCTGAACATAAAAGGAACCAGTGGGTCAGAATTATACCTCCTGACATTCAATCTCAATTTTCTATGTGAAGTAAGTATTCATTATTTCTGTATAACTGGAAGCCTGGCCAGTTTAGCCAATGAGTAATTTTAAGTTATAATCCAGTGAGCCCTTTGTTTGGTCATTGTTGTCATGACAGGGTTTCGCTATGTAGCCAGCCCATGCTGGTCTCAAACTCACAAAGCCCCTGGGTGCTGAATTAAAGGTGAGCACCACCACACCTGCCACATACAGGACCCTGTGATGCTGTGACAGTATGCTGTGACTAAAGACACAGATAGACAAAGAACATACACACCATGACCCAAGACACAAGACAGGGAACATACACACCCCGACCCAAGACGCAAGACAGGGAACATACACACCATGTATGTCCCAAGTCACAGACAAGGAATATACACATAAACAAGATACAGACAAGGAACACACACAACATGACACAAGACAGGAACATGCACACCATGACACAAGACAGGGAACACGCACACCATATACGTTCCCGAGTCACAGGCCATGAACAAGACATAGACAAGGAACAAAACAATATGACCCAAGACACAGACAGGGAACATCATGACCCAAAGTCAAGAAATATATACACTGTAACCCAAGAAACAGACAGACAAAAAACATACACACCATGACCCAAGTCACAGACAAGAAACATATACACTGTGACCCAAGAAACAGACAGACTAGGAACATATACAACATGACCCAAGACACAAAATAGGGAACATATTCACCATGACCCAAGACACAGACCAGGAATACACATACCATGACTCAAGCAACAGACAAGATACACACACACACCTCAACCCAAGACACAGAGAGGCAAGGAATACACATACCATGGTCTAAGTCACAGACAAGAAACATACACACTACAATCCAAGACACAGACAGGAAAGGAACACATATACCATGACCCAAGTCACAGCCAAGGAACACACACACTGCAACCCAAGACACAGACAGACAAGGAACACATATACCATGACCCAAGTCACAGGCAAGGAACATGCACACCATGACCACAGTCATAGACAGAGAACATGTATAGTTCCAAGAACAAGAAAACGAAGGCTATGTTATCAGACAATTCAGGGCTCATATTAAATTGAATCTTTAAAAATACGTAGAATTCAAAAATGCACAAAGCAAACTTTTTAAGCAAAATGTACTGCTAACCTTATTTACAAATGGTTAGGATAAGTGGCGGTCTGATTTATAAAGTTAGGATGGGACGGTCCTTCTGTTTTCACGACTGACTGTTTTCTCAGCATTTCAATCTCCAGTGACTGTGCTTTGGCTGACCTGAGCCACTCATCTCTGCTTCCTTTAAAATTATAAGGTGATCACCACAGGAAACCCTGAACAAAGAAATGGTTGCTCTTCCAAAGGAGCCAGAAGTAGCTGGGCACCAGTGGCTCATGCCTGTAATCCTAACTATTCAGGAGGCTGAGATCTGAGGAACACGGTTCAAAGCCAGCCCAGGTAGGAAGTCTATGAGACTCTTATCTCCAATAAACCACCAGAAAACAGGGAGTGGCGCTGTGGCTCAAGTGGTAGAGCACCTGCCTTGAGCAAAAGAGCTGAGAGACAGCACCCAGGCCTAGAGTTCAAGCCCCACAACCCCCCCACACACACACAAAGCAAAGGAGCCAGAAGCTGATGGTGAGGACCCCAGGAGAGGCTGTGACCCCTTAGCGGAAAGGCAGGAAGTCTGTATAAGTCATAAAAAGGCAGAGGTGGCTGCCCAGCTATACAGACTGAGCTTGGGAGCACAGCTGTCACTTTCAACAAAATGGAAACCATCCCCATACCTAAGGACCAGGGACAGTGACCACAGCAGTAGCCATCCTGGCAAGAAGAGAGCTTGCCAAAAGGAATACAGCCTTGCAGTACCTGCAAGAAGTGGTAAGGTGATTGTGAATGTGGTAAGGAATCAAGAGAAGGATTAGATCCAACAATGGTGAGAAAACCCTAGAGAGAGTAAAGACTGAATAAAACTTTTCAGCCAAGAACAAGGCGAGTAGGCGGGTGCAGCTGTGACAATGACCTAGGAGGCTGAGGGAACCAGCACCAGAGGCAGCTGGAAGGAGACCAACAGAAAACCTAGAGGCCTGAGACTGAGCACCCGTTGTGTGGAGAACAATGGCTCCCAAAGATATCTCTCCCAGCTAGGCAGTTGAACTGCTAAGTGAACTATGTGGCGAGGCACAGGAAAGTGTGGTGCAAATGGGGTTGATGTCACTAAGGACTTCCTGCCTAAAGAAGAGAGACTCCAGACTGCCGCTGGGAGCAATCAAGATAGTCACAAAGATGCAAAGTGGAGGAGGGACAGCAGGGGAGACAGTGGACTGACAGGATGACCATCACTGGCTGTCCTCATGGAAGGACACATGAGCCAAGAAATGCAAGCGGCGGCTGGAAGCTGAGAAAGGAGAGGTTCTCTCCCCAGGAAGAGAGCCTGCCAATACCTCTGACTTACAGAAGTAAGTTCAGCTAACAGCCTTCCAGCAGTCCATGTGGGTTAAAGGAGGCAGAGCTCAGCAACTAGAGCAGCAATCCCCACAGCTCCCAGGTCAGATCAGAGGAAACAGTGAGAGGAAAATTAAAAGTTTACTCTCAGGGAGCAGAGGGAGAAGAGAAACAGTTTAGTATCTGCATCACACTGGAGAAAAAAGCTGAGCTGGAAAACAAAGATGCAGAAAAGCAGTGTCTACAGGTGAATCCAGGCTTTTTTTTTTTTTTCGGTCATGGGGCTTGAACTCTTGGCCTAGGTGCTGTCCCTCTGCTCTTCAGCTCAAAGCTACCACTCTACCGTCTGAGCCACAGCACCACTTCCGGTTTTCTGGTGGTTTATTGGAGATAAGAGTCTCACAGACTTTCCTGCCCAGACTGGCTTTGAACTGTGATCCTCAGATCTCAGCGACCTGAGTAGCTAGGATTAGAGGTGTGAGTCACTGGCACTGGGCTTCAGGCCTTTTTGGTACAACATTTCTGGAAGCAATGTCCAAAAAGAAACTATCTCTCAAGGAGCTCCAATACCAAAGGGCAGAACCAAAGGTGATACATTCAGAGGCTCACCTTGTGGGAAGATGGAAGAGGAGCTTGGAGTCTTAGAATAGAGGATGTATGGACAGCAATAGGGCTGGAGTTGGAAGGACTTTAAAACCTCTCAATGCATAAGCTACCACCCATGCCACCTGTGAAAGGTCGTGTAAAGATCTGACTGAGCCAGGTAGGGCTGAGGTCCTCAGAGAGGTAGGGCTCATGACTGGGAAGACTGAGCCATGCAGGGCTAAGGTCCTCTGAGAGAGGGACATGGCTTGCATTGCATAACAGACCTCAACAGTTCTTCCAAATTCAGCACACTACATCATGGTCTCAGGACAAGGTAAGCTTCCGATTTTTAACATGCATTGCTCTATTTTTCTTTTCTTTTCTTTTTTTGGTTTAAAGCAGTACTTTATTCTTTTTTTAATTTTTATTGTGAAAATACTGTACAGAGGGATTACAATTACATAGGCAAGATAATGAGTACATTTCTTATTAAGCATTATAGCCTCCTCCTTTATTTCCCCTTTCCATCCCTTCCTATCCTCTCCCCATCCCATGCTCTATTTTTCTCAAGGGCTCAATTTTGTTTTATTTTACCCTCTGTACTAAGATAACATACCAAACTCAGTACTTGTCAGTAGGAAGGGGAACTGTTCTGAGCCCCTCTACGTTTGAGTCTAGCTAAAGGCCAGCTGCCCAAGGTCTAACCCGTCCCTGAGTTTCCAGCAAGAATTCTATCCCTGCTTTGCGTCTCAGGGATGCTAAACAAATGTAGGAAGGTAAATTACCTGTGACTGCACCTGAGTATAATGGCTCTGGAACATGGGCTCCATAAAACTGTATCTTACAAGATTCAAGTCTAGCACACCTTCCATCCATTGTCTGTAAAAGGCGGCAATGGTAACAGAAAGACTTGGGAAAGTAGAGATGTGGAACTAAAGTCAACTTATTCTCCTTCAGCAGTCACCATGGACACTAAGGAAGGAGGCCCAAGGGCAGGCACAGACATTTCTTCTACTTAGGCTGTACTTGTAAAATAACTTTACTAACACAATATACAAGATCATCTTAACTTATTATGCTGACATTTAAATTTTAGTTTTTATTAGCATCTTTGAGTTGTACATGAGGGTTTCATTCTGTCATATCCACATATGCTTGCAGACACCATGATCAGACTCACCACCCTTTCCATTATATAACCTAAACAAGAAATTGTAGCTGAATCTACTTCAGGCAAAACATAACCTAACACCCCAGGTCCCAGTTACCTGAGAATATGAGTCACAAGCAACATCTGGAGAACCAGGAATGGGTAGGAGAAGCTCTCGCGGAGAGGGGGCGTCCACATGACCCGGGTGCACTGAAAAGGAACATTGAGAGTGTGATGCACTTGCGGTGTCTGCTGAGTGAGAAGTTCAAGTGCAAGCTGCTGCTTGTAAGCACAACGAGGGGGGCTTTCCCCACACCAGTGGGTATCAAAACCACATTACTGGACTTTCTACCACCAGCAAAACACGGAAAAGGGGAAGCAAGAACATGGCTGAAGAAGGCTCACAGGACGAAGCATCTGCCCACAGACTCCTCCATGAGCCACACCAGTACAAACTGTGCTGCAGTGAGCATGGGAGCGCAGGTATCTACTGTATAACAAGCCATTTCCTTTGCAACGACTGCCAGCAGCAGGACAGGTTATAACAATCCACAATCTACTTCAGCATAACTAGTCAAAGATTCCAGAACACAGAAATGATTCATGTCTAAGGAATTGGAAGTTATTGCCCAGGCTGGGGTCTCTAAATACCATTTCCCATTAATAGGACCCATGGCTTAGAAAACAACTGTGTCAGTATCTGGAGACAAGAAAGTACAAGGCAACTTTGGGACACACTGTGCCACAAAGAAAGCACTGAAAGGTTGAAGGAATATATCAAAGGAATCAAGAATGAACAAACAAGGTCCATTAGAATTACTCTAACAAAGGCATGAAAGTACACAAAGCATTTCTGAGAAGAACTGAAGTAGTCTGAAACAAATGAAGAGCTATATCTATGTGTAAGGGATTAGAAGATTTGATTTGATAGATTTAGGATGTCAATTTTCCTTAAGCTGACTTAGGGATTCAAAGCAATCACATTTAAAATCCCAGCAGGACAAAGCAGTAGAGACAGCTGATTCTACATTTATGGAAGCACAAAGGACCTGGAACAGCTCTGATGATGCTAAAGAAGACTGGAGACTCACAGTATAAGACATCAAACTTAGGAAGCTATAACATTCAAGAAAGTATGATACAGACTTATATAGACAAACCCAGAACTGAGAGGCCAGACACAAAGTCAAGACATATACCATCATCCTATCTATAACCAAACTACCACTGACTTTTCAAGAAATGGTATTGGGTTAACTGGACACCCACACTGGGACAGTGAAGAAGGTGACTCTTGAGTTGACTTCAGACTAAACACAAAAGTCTAGACAGATCACAGACAGACACACAAAAGCTAGGCCAATTAAACTTCTAGAGGAGAACTTAAGAGATGATCGTTATGTCTTGTGGTTGGCAGATTTTTAAATCAGGACTCAAAAAGGACTAAACACTGATAAAAGCTTCTGTCCATCAAACAAACAACAAACAAGCAAAATAAAACCCAAGAAGGCAGCTACAGCCATACAAAGACCTTCACAAAAGATACCCAGTACAGAACTGCACAAATCAGAGCCCCATGGACCAAAGATTTTGCATTCTCTTCAATGGGCAATGGGCAAGGATGTCAGTAGGCACTTCCCACCATTAAAATGTAAAGCAGATAAGCAATACAAAAGTGGCTTTTAGGGGCTGGGAAGGTGGCCCAGTGGTAGAACATTTGCCTTGCATGCCTGAGGCCCTGGGTTCGATTCCTCAGCACCACATAAGCAAAAAGAAAAAAGCCAGAAGTGGCGTGGTGGCTCAAGTGGTAGAGCGCTAGCCTTGAGCTGAAGAGCTGAGGTACAGTGCCCAGGCACAGAGTTCAGGCCCCATGACCGAACCAAAAAACAAAACAAAACAAAACAAAAGTGGCCTACATCATCAGGAGAAATCAAAGTGAGACCATGAGCAGACACTGCCACATTTGACTGCCAAATAAATACTGACGAGGATATAAAAGAAACCCATGTGGTTGTACTTTGCTAGTGGAGGGAACCCTGAAATGAGCACTCATAAAACAATGTCAAGAGAAAGAATGATTCCATTTATGCAAGGCCCCCCAGTCACAGGAGAGGTCAGACCCGCTGACCCCATCTGGAGGATGAGAATGGCTACAGAGAAGGACCTGTAGGAAACAACAGGCCTGGACCTCTCAAAAATGTCTATGCTATCTTTACAATGTTCAGGATAAAGTGATAACTTGACCCAAAACAAAACCAAAATGGAACTTACTGGGATAACTGGAAATTAGAATACAGACTATATGAAGATACTGTCTAACAGCTAGTGTTAAATTCTGAGATGTTGCAGGTTGGTTGATGTCCTTGGATCTCAGCAACCTACCGAGCAATACAAGGGATGTCAACAAGTCCAAAGTACAAGAGCATGTGCACAGGTGTATGAGACAGAAAACAACCAAGTGTGGCAAAATGTTAAAGCTGGTAAACAACAAAGCACACCTACGATTTGGTACATTTTAAATTTCTTTCAGTAAAATACTGGAGGAAAGAGAAATAGAGAAAGCCTTCTTTCCTCCCTTCCTTCCCATCCTCTTTCTCTTCCCCTTCCTGTTACACTTCCCCCTTCCTCAGTTTTCTATGTACTTAATAGACATTTGTCCATCAGCACAGTGCAAGTCCTGCAGCACTATCCATGCTTCAACATCTGATGTTACAGCAAGGAAAGGAGGAGATCTGATAAAAAAAGAAAAGGCAGCGAAAACCATCAACTTCCATCTTAACATGAACTTCTAATGGATTCTCAGTCCATGAGGACACCTGTAGATTTTTATTACTAACATGTGACTCAGTATGACTGACCATTGCTATGACAACCAAAGTACCACTGACCAATACTATGACAACTAATAGCCCACTACTGCATTTTCAAGTTTCAGATTTGAAGTCCTTCTATTTTTGTTTTAAATAATTTGATTTTGTCTATCCGTGCTACATTTTCACAGTATCTTCGTCAAGGCCAAAGCTTTCTCTTGCAAAACCATGTGGAAGGGAAAAGGAAAATTTGAAAAGTATATTGCATATTATCTTAGATACAACATAGGGAAAAGTGGTCAATATAGAACTTAAAAATAGGTAGTCACAATCTGGGGCACATAAAGATTTCACTCACACAGTACCAATTGATAAGCAACAGAAATGTAGAGTACAGAGCGCAACACTTGCCACTAGCCACAGGAACAGAGGGCATGAGTGCCTGCTCCTCTTCCAAATGCCGTATTGTTTAGGCCACAGATTCACAATTCAAAAGAAATAGGGTCTGAAAAATCTCATCTGAAAGCCAAAGCATATGCGAAAATCTACAAACTTTCAATTATGAGTTGTCACTAGTATCTTACCCCAAACTGACGATGCTCTTACGCTAATGCATGTCCTTACACAAAAATGCCAGTGTTCCACCTTCTGAAGCTCAATACATATAAATACAGTAATTTGGCTACTTCAATAAAACTAAAATTGTCACTGTAATGACATTTAGTTATCTTTTCCTAAGAAAGTAATGAATATTCTGTTTAAATAAACCACCTGAAAACTATGAAAAGAAAATCGGCCGAAAACAACAACAGAATCATCTGAATCCCACTGTCAGAAAATGAAAAGAAATGGTGCTCATATAAATGAGCGTCAAAAATCTAAGAAATTATAAGCAGCCCCAGAGAACGGGGGAGTAACACAGTGGGCCTTTGTGCATGACAGTGAGTGGTCTTTCTAACTCTCTTGGCTCCAAAATGGCCAAGCATCGCCTTCCTCCAACATCTTACTGCTAACATACAATGTTCCCTTCTTCCATTATTCCACAGCTACTTCCCATTTCCTCAGTCGTGCTCACAGTCTGTGCTACAGAATGTTCTGATGTGCACCACACAATGTGCATCCACAGACTTTCCTTGGCTCACTGCACCAATAAACAGTTGTGTTGTTGCCAACACTGTGAGGCACTGTCATCTACCAGGCCAGAGCTTACATTCCTGTGACTCTAAATTCCAAGTGCATGTGCGAGGATCCACTAGTAACTCACAGACTAAAACAGTCTATCAGTTATGCCAAATGAAATTTGTGTGTGATTATTCACTAAGAGATTTGTAACATGTACAAAATCAAACATTAAAGACTCTCAATGAAGAATATGAGTCACTTTATACAAAGTGACTTTTTCCTTTTCCTCCTGAAAAAGTCACAAGAGAGATGTTACTAGACATTTATTGCCAATTATCATCAATTCAGAAGAAATTCATTGGCACTTTGCATTTAGGTTAGAATTTAACTTGAACTAAACTGTTAGTAATATCTATAACAAATAAGAATAAGTCAAGCTAACAATTCTAGTTACTTATCTTGCTCCAAACACTGTTCTAGGCACACTGCATGCAGGAATTTAGTTGTATCTAAAGTCATCTCATAGGGTCCTGTGAGATACCCATTTACACACAGGAAACTATGCTGAGAGCAAAAGACAGTGCTCTCACACATGGTACTTCAGCAAAGGCAGGATCCAGCCAGGCAGCCAGAAGCAGGGGTACACACATCACAATGCTGTTCTCTCTAGAAAGCCACGGAACAAAGGCAGATTGAAAGGATAACAGGATACACTGAAAAGGTATGTTATGCCTGAAACACGAGCTTTCATGGTTCTGGAACTATGTGAAAGTCCCATTGAACCACTATTTCTTCGGATCAGTGAGAACTAGATCCCACATAACATAACACATTAAAATGAAATTAAAGTGAACACCATAATTTAAACTTTGGATCAAAAGAGTAAGAATGGGTGTGGTGGCTCAGGCCTGTAATCTTAGATACGTGGGAGGCAGAGATCGGAGGATCGCAGTGGAAGGCAGGCTGGGTATGGAATTTAAGACTCCATTTCAACCAGTGGCTGAGCATGATGGCACACAGCTGTTGTTCCAGCTACAGGGAAAAGGTACTGGGACACTGGTATAAGCCTGTCACCCCTCGAGGCATGGGGAAGCACAGCAGGAGGATCACAGTCCAAACAGTCAGCACAAAGCAAACCCTACCCTGAAAGTAATAAAAGCAAATGGGGGCTGGAGACAGGCTCAAGTAGTAGAGTGCTTTCTTAGCAAGTAGAGAGAAATTAAGTTTAAAGAAGAAATCATCCAGGGGTGATTCTGAAGGCAATTTTGTTCACTACCTACCTCTCCATGATTGAAAAAGAAGCACAACACAGTAACCAGGCCTCCTAACCGGCTGCCACTGGAAAAGAGGAAAAGAAAAGTAACTCAGTAACAGAGATGAAGGGTCAGTCCTTAAAAGTAAAATAATGCACATGATTGTAGTTTCTACTAGCAACAACCAGTTCTGCCATGCTACAACTTCCTGTGCTGATTTACACAACAGTTTCCTTCCTTCAAAGTATCACTAGACAAAAGACATTTCATCCTTTACCAATCACCTTTTACTGCACAACAGACTGAAGGAATGGAGGACTCTCCAGTCACATTACTGTACATCACACACCGGCTGTTTCTTTCTCTTTTTTCTTTAGTGCCACGCATTTATCTGTGTTCTACCACTTTACACAAATTCTTTTCCTGGGATACCTGTTGCTATTAGGAAAGGATGGAGAAAGCAGAGACAAGGGCTCCATAAGATAGACACTAGGAAAAGTGGGAAGCCAACACTGTCTTCTCTCAGAAACACACAATCATACAAGCACATTAGACTTGTTCCACTACTCCCACTTGTCCCTGGGCTATAATTCTGCAGTTTTCCAGGAACAGCACATACACACACCAGCATATACTGGTGTACAGGTAAAATTCTACAACCTCAGTTGGTTACAAATATCCAAGTGACAACCAGGCTGGCCACTATGGCTAAGAACCCACCACAGCAGAATCCACCATTTGCTCCTACCCCTTACCAGCTTGGGTAGAGGAATTAAGGCCAAACCATCACTTCCCTCATCTTCACCCTTGAGATCTTCTGGCTCAGTTTAGCTCATGCTGCTTTTTTATTATTCTGTTCAAATCCTTCTTTCTATCCAGCAGAGGTCAGAGCTAAGAGGGAATGAGGGAGAGGCCATCACAGGCCTTGACTCTTTACTCTTGGAGATGCATGAATGTGGTCAGCACATGTCCCCTCTCCCAACCTGCAGGAGACAGGCAGGGCTGGGACCCCCAGCAGCCCCAGACTGCATGGGAATTTGTGGAGTTTCCACTTCCCCTACAGAGCAAGCAGCACAGCCATCTGCTGTTATGAGAAAGAGACAGCATTAAAGGCCTGCAGGCCTAGGGTCTGGCACACACCTGACCTAGAAGGAGGCATATAGAAGGACAAGAGGGTTTCTGAGCCTCTGAGGGTAAGGGACTGACTGAGATTAATTGGGTCTCTAACTGTAGGAGTGCCTAATTTCATTCTGCCCATTATCAGCCTGAATGGGTAACAGAGGAATAGCAAAGGAATAGTGACGAGTGCAGAACATAGAAGAAGAGAGCAGATAAAGAGGCAGAAAGGAAGCAGTGTAGATAGCAGGCTCCGGGGACAGGCTCCCAACATCTGCATCAATAGAAAAGCTGCAGCACACTGACTCAACATTAGAAGGGTTAAAATACAGTTAAATGTTGCTAAAACACCAAAATTTAATAGTTTGAAATTTTTTCTGCCAAAACAAAAAGTACAAAATTTCCTCTGAATCATGATTTCTTGCTTCTTGCCCTCTCCAATCCTCGGTACCCATAAGAGACAGTGGTGTCTCTGCATATGTCTATCCTTCCAAATCTTTCTCTATAAACATATGGAACATGTGTGTGTGCATGCGCTCATGCACACCCATGCATGCACACGTGTGTGTCCATGCATGTGCATGCATACTACTCCTGGGGCTTACACTAAGGACCTGGTTACTATCCTTGAACTTTTTTCTCAAGGCTAGTGTTCTACCACTTGAGCCACAGATCTACTTCTAGTTTTGGGATAACTAATTGGAGATAGAATCTCTAATTTGTCTGCCCAGGCTGGCTTTGAACCATGATCTTCAGATCTCAGTCTCTTAAGTAAGTAGGATTATAGGCCTAAGCCAAGGGTGCCCAGCTTCAAGGAGAGTATGCTGTTCACAGCTCTCTGAATCTTATTATTTCTCTAATTAGTAGTAATTATTCCTAATCAATACATGTAATCAAAACATTCCTTCTACAGAGGAGAAGGGATTTGCTGATGGGGAGGGGTCACTGAAGCCATGAAATGGAATCATTAGTGCACTCCAGGAAGGGGACAAAAAAATAGAGATATGGATAGGAAATGAGAATCAAGAAGGGTGGAAATAATTCTCCATTAGATCCTCTCCAGTCTGTTACCAGCAACAAATAAAACACCTATCCCACCAGCCACCAGTACTAAGGAGCTTTAGCCTACTAGCTCATGAACTTTCCAATTCATGGCAGCTGCCATGATCCTCAGTCTGCAGCAGACACCAAACACTATTTCAGAACACTGCTGTCAAACTCCCCTGATGTCACCTATGCTCTCTGCAGCAAAGGTCAGGGAACTGCTGCTCTACCAAGCCTCCAGGCTGCTGGGTTCTAGGAAGGCTAAGGACTAACTGCAGCATGGCTCCAGTCCAAACACTCCCTGCCCCCACTGGATCATCTCAGACCTTCCTAGAGTCTGCTTCCTCCATGGGAGGCTAAGTGTCCTCCTCCCCCACTCTACTTGGAGGCCTGCAACAGTCTCTGTAAGGCCTCCCCTTTCTCTAGGCCACCCCCCCCCACTATACAGCATGCTCAACACCATGAAAAATAAAAGAATCCAACCACACTACCACTATTCACACACTCTGCACTGGCTGCCCATTCCTCAGACTCAAAGCTACCCATGGCAAAGTGTTCAAAATGCTTCTCACAATCCAGCCTTGCTGCCCCTCCATGCAGCCCCTTTTCACTGTCCTTCCTCTCACCCCAACTCTGTGCACAGCTGTGCTGCTACAGACACAAGGACAATGACATGGCTACAAGGTGCGAAAGAGCTCCCCTACCAGATGGGGTGGGGGAGCTGAGGGAAGCCTGGTGAGACAAAGCTGGGGTGTCCCCAGACACAAGCAAAGCCAGCTCCAGAGGTGCTCTGAAGAAGTAATAGTGTCTACATGTACTTCAGTGTCAGGACAGAATACAGCCTGAGTGCTCCTGTCCTTTGCTAAATACCAAAGACAGAACAAGGAGCAGGTCTTGGAGAAAAAAAAATATATCAATATTTTCAACCAGTATCTTCCATCAATTTATGCATACTAAACAGAAATGCTTATCTTTTAAATATTCATATGCAACTGTTAGACCAAATGGGTTTGATTAAAGATATGCTAACAGGCCAAGTTAATAGAACATTCAGGAAAACACATAGCTGGAAAAGTTGGAGATGGTACAATTCAGTCTATTTAAAGCGTGTTGTTAGTCAAAAATTCAGCCCATATAAACAGTAAGTGCTTGATTTTTCTTTAAATTAAATTTTTTCTTTAAAAAGGTTGGACACCCGTTATGTCGAAAAACGAACTTTACAACTTTGGTGGGGGGAGGCCGGGGGGGGGGAGGTTACGAAGGGACGGGAAGGGGAAACAAAGCAGGAGGCTACAATGCTTGAAAAGAAATGTGCTCATTATCTTGCCCATGTAATTGTAACCCCTCTGTACAGTATTTTCACAATAAAAATATATTTTAAAAAAAAAAGGTTGGACACCTTGTATTATCAAGTGAGCACTTGATAATGCAAGTGATTCTTTTCTGTTTCACAGCTAAGCCTGAGACGCAGAGTGCCTTCGTGGGTGCCTTGGCTAAGATAACGGGGGACAGAGAAAAAGAGCATTTAGCCAAATGAAAAGGGGTGGATGGACATATCCAACTTTCAGGCCCTTCAGTAACACAGCCAGAAATAAGACCAATGTTAAATGCTGTCTATTGTGAAGGAGCCACTCTAAGCCTCCTGTGACCAACGCTCATAAGAGAAGCACAGACGGCAGAAGATGAAGACATCATCTTAGGGCTGGCTCAGTCCACATGTGGAAAAAAAAAAGCACCTTCTGCAGACTAGTACAGCTGCAGATGGCCAGGCTTTCTGAACAGATGCCATAAAGCAAAAGAGAACTGAGTAGAGACAGGCAAGAGTAAATGTTTGTTCAAAAAAGGGGGCAAAAGCAGAGTGGCCACCAGGACAAGCAGCAAGAAATGTACACAAGTTCATGATAAAGTATTTTATCCATTCACTTCAACCAAAAAAAATACTTTCTAAAGGCAGACATTCTTCCAGCCGCTTGGCAACCATTCCCACAAGATGGTGTCTCCTAAATTCACATAGGCCTTCTCCCTCCTTCCCCACTGACAGCTTCACAACAATTCTCCTTTAATCTCCCACTCTGAGCCCATTATTACCCTATAAAACATTTCATTACAACTTATTTTCTCTCCTTTGGTCTCAATCATCACAGCCTAGGAATGTTAATTAACCAAGAAAGATCTGACCTAGAAGGTAGAAACCACAGCTAGAAAAAAAGTAATTTCTTTACTCAGGTTTCTGTCTAGAATCCATAATTCATCCCTATAACCAAAGATCAAGACAAAATGAAAACATTTTCAAATAAACAAAGCTATATAAGTACATATCTCTTGTTAACCACTCTCAAAAATTACTAGAAATGCTCTAAAGTAAGAAAGTAAACCAAGAAAAAGGACTAAGCAAGACAAAGTGGCAGTGAAGGAAAGCCAGTGGGATGGAGTCAGGGTCTGGATTCTAACATCCCCAAAGTCCTGTGCTGCCCACAGTTTGCCCACCAGAGAGTGGTGCTGAAGGAGGTGTTGGGTACTGGTAGAAGGAAGTCAAGTTGTTGAGGGTGTGCCGTGGGAGTACTGGAGACCTGACCACCATGAGGAGCAGCTTCGCTCCACCACAATCTCCTCCAGATTTTCTGTCCAGCCACAGGCCTGAAGAGGCAAAGCCAGCAACCCTAGCTGTCTGAATCTGTGAGGCAAAGACTTAAAGTCCTTCATCCTTGCAAGTTACTTTTGTCACAGCAATGGAAGGTGATTGACACATGAAGGAAGACATCAAGATTATAGATGTACACACCTTTGCACACAGACATGTACGCCATTGCAGGCAGTGCCCACCATCACAGATAGTACATGCCATCTTAGACAGATGTGCACGCCCTCATATATACACACCATTGCAAACAGATGTGCATACCAGACATGCATGCCATCAGAGATGTACATACCATCAGACATGCATGCCATCAGACAGATGTGCATGCCAGACATACACTCCATTGCAGACAGATGTACATGCAATTGCACAGTGCACATCATCACAGATGTGCATACCATCAGACATGCATACCATTGCAGACAGTGCACACCATCACAGACAGATGTACATGTCATCATAAATATGCATGCCATTGCAGACAGTGCACACTGTCACAGACAGATGTGCATGCCATCTGACATGCACCCCATCACAGACATACACACCACTGCAGACAGATGTGTATGCTATCATAGACATTCATGCCATCGCACAGTGTACACCACAGACAGATGTGTATGCCATCGAAGATATGTGCACCATCACAGATCGTGCACAACATCACAGACAGATATGTATGCCATCATAGACATTCATGCCATCATAGACAGTGCACACCAGACAGATGTGCATGCCATCACAAACATGAACACCATCACAGAAAGCTGTCCATGCCATCTCAGACAGTGTACAACATCAAGGACATACGTGCATGCCATTGCAGACCAACATGCATACCACTACAGACAGTGCAAATCACTGCAGACAGACTTGCATGCATGTCATTGCACAGATGTGCATGCCATCACAGTGTATAACATCAGACAGATGTGCACACCATTGCAGATAGTGCACACCATTGCAGATAGACAATGGACAACATCATAATGCATGCCATCGCAGACAGGCAGTATACATCACTGCAGACAGTGCAAAACTATCATAGACAATGCACACTACCGCAGACAGTGACAATGCGCACCACTGCAGACAGAAAGTTCATGCTATCGTAGACAGTGGATGCCATCTCAGACAGACAGTGCACACCATGTAGTTATCACAGCTAAGGTCCCCACGTGAGGGAGCCTGGGCCACATTCTCCCCTTCATCTTACCTCAGCCCCCACATGCTGACTGCTCACATAAACCAGGAGCCTTACGTTCCCTCTCAAAGCTCCTTCTCAATGCCAGATGCACAGTGGAGAAGTCAGAGCCTGAGGCTGTCCTGCTGTGGCTGGTACTAATACTGTCCACACCACATTCCCATTAACTGGACTGACTTATGATCTTGCCAATGGATGTCCTAAGGTGTTGAGCTCCTGATTAAAACCCTACATGAGGTCCAGGCCCACCTGCAGGCTCACTGGGGACAGCCTGTGCAGAAGTGAGGCCTGGCAGGCACAGAGGCAGAGGAATGCTGATGCACAGTCATGCTCTTCACAGTTCACATTCCTGACCTGGCACCTCTCTCCCAGGTCTATTTGCCTGAAACTCTGAGCAGGAATAATACACACACCAGGAGTTGCATACTAGCACCACTGCCCACTCTGCCCCCAGAGACCAAGGGAAGAGGCAGAGCTTCTGGAAAACGCATCCCACAATATCCCACACGTCCACGCTCTGCTGGGAGTGCTGGGAAGGTGCTGTGATACTGTGTCATCTCCAAAGTGACAAGTCTTTTATACTCTAATGAGCTGGTTGGTGGCTGGCAGCCCCAAGGTGACTTCAGGCTGGGGAATGGTCACAGGAAAGATGAAGCAGTTACAAGGTTGGGACTTTTCATCATCTCCAGGGAGGGAAGAGGGGCTCATGGCTAAATGGTTCATCAATGGCCAGTGATAGATGAATCGATACCTATGGAGAGAACACCCACAGAGAGGTTTCTGGAAGCAGTTCACTGGAAGAGGGAAGGGCTGTTCCACACCAACCTCAGGCCCCTCCCACGTCTCTCTGACCTGCATCGTTTGTCACATCATAAAATAAACTGGTAGACATAAGCAGGTTTCATGGAGGTTTGTGAGCAACCTGATAAACCCCAAAAGGAGGTCTTGGGGACTCTCATTATAGCCACAGGGAGTCTGACGCACAGGGCTGGTCACTTGGGGCTTGGGACTGGCACTGGGGGAGTCTTGTGAGGCTGAGCCCTCCACTTGGGGCATCTAATGCCATCTCCAGGTGGGTAGTGTCAGGATGGACTTGAGGGGACACAACTAGTATCCAGTGCAGATAAGAGTAGCAGGCTGCAGTGGAGAGAATTCCCCTGTCAATGACCTGTGGTCATTGATGTCTTGTGTATTTTGTACAACAGGAGCTAGAGTGGGAGAAACTGAATCTGCTTTTCCACTTTCATCGGAGCTGCCTTTGGATAGGGCTAGAGATTATTTGGGGTTCAGAAAAAGCCCACCAACTACAAAGGTAGAGTTAGGAAAATAAAGACACATGCTATGATGCAGGCAGCAAGAAGGGGCCAGAGCAGCAGGTGCCAGTTAAAGCCAGCTGTGCCCAGTGGCCCTGATACAGGGAGCAGAGTCTGGACAGCCAGTAAGAAAGACCTACATGCTCCCTCTTGCCATTCAAACAGTAGATTTCAAAACTGTCTATTAGCATACACTAATTCTACAAAAAACTTTCACTACTATTTCCATACATGAATACCATGTGTACCTGACCTAACTGCACACTTCTTTTAGCACAACAACTACAGTAAGAAATGAGATTACACAATTATGCACATATAGCCAATACTGACAACAAGCCAAAGTTCCCCATACCAGTCCTAGACTCAGTGTGGATTACTTGGTAAGTATTTAGAGATTCTTTCAGTTAAAAAGTAGCATAACTAAGTTAGCAGTCTCGCAGTGATACTTTATTTCATAATTTAATTTCTGTTACTTGAAATCTAATCTCCCAAACAATGGCAGTCCTCAGCAAAAGAACCTGTCCCCCAAGGCAGGCCTGGCCTTCTCCAGAGGATAAATAGGTGCTTCTATGTGTCTGGTTGCATAAAGAGACCTTTCCACATCACCTTTCAAACTTGGCATATTCAGTTTATTCTCTCAATTTAATAATTAAAAGAGCTTTCTTATACTCAAGTCAGAAATATTGGCACCAAACTATCTTTAAATCTACATGGAGATGTATTTTACTTGGATCACTTCCTTAGGTGAGAAGCATTTACAGAGTAACTGCTATGTATCACAACTCTGAGCTACCAACAACAGATTCTTGAGAAACTTGTGTGCCATGACACAGAAGATAATGGGGGAAGGGCAAATTCAAACTTTTACCTTATCCCAACTTGAAAACCAAATCCAGATGCCCTTACATCTGAACTACCAGGCATCAGGAAGTGCGACAAAGGCAGTGTGATACATTGTCAACAAAAAAACATAAGGCCTTTAAGACGTCCATTTCAGTGTTAGGAATGCTGAACAGTAAATAGGTCACATAAGTACTAATATAGAACAGACTTCCTTGATGTTAGAAAGATAAGAGCCATTAATACCATTAATATCATTTGGCAATAAGTGGTTTTCCCTTATGTCTTCATGAAAATAATGCATAATGGTTATGCCCAAATACCAACAAACAGCTAAAACTTATATAAATAACCTTACCATATGCTATATTTAAGCCTCTGAAACCATTTTAAGTGTGTTAAAAATTAGGCAAATGCAAGATAATTTTATAACTACAAGTAGATATTTTAGGAATAGTGTTGTAAAATAGAACATTAAATTATTAATGGCTATTAAGTATGAACTGTTTCTATTATTATGGTATATCATAAATGTGTACTAAAATATGCTTACCTTAAATATGTGCCATATATGAAGAATAAGGCCATCATTAGTCCATTTAAAATAAAAATTACAGCAACATAAAAGCAAGCAGGATCTCCCAATCCTTTAAAAATAAACAAAACATATGTTCTAGCCACAAATGTCTTGCAATTCATATTAAACGGAATCTAGTTGGAAAATGATTAGATAAATCAAATGGCTGCCTTGGTTGGCATATAAAGGCAGGACACTCTGTGCAGAGAGCTGAGGAGAGGAGGGTAGCTACATGGAGTCTAGGCCTGTTCTGAGTCTAGTTATAAAGCAACAGCACAAAGCAGAAGCAAAACCAAGAGCCTTCTGTGAAAGGCATTAGCCACACCCAGCACAGTCCTCATCCATATTCGCACAACCTGACAGTTACTCAAAACCCAATACCCAAGGAAAGGCCTCATGAGCTGCACAACTGACAGTCCTATCTGAGTTCAACCTCAGGGACAAAATGAGTAAAGTGGCCTCTGGTTCAGCCCCCTCTGCCCAGCCAGGCAGGTCTTCCTGGAAGAGGCCTTCAAATCACAGAGACAAATGAGCCTTGTAGCTGCCCAGATTTCTGACTTGCCAAAACTATAAGCATAATACAATGTTGTTCATATCACTGAAGCAGAGTGAGAAAACTGTGCTACAGCATAGGACTGAGGATATTACCTTCACAGCTCTCGATGGGACTCAGGCCTTCTCCTCGGGTGACTGTCCAACAGATCTTAGTTTGAATACCAATCAAATCCATGACTTTGGTATAAATTCGGTACCAGCTGGCCAAGATGACCTATTTATAATAAAACAAAGATACTATAAGGTAGAACCTAGCACAATTTCCATAAAAGGTGGACTATAGAGCAATGGCAGATCAGTGCAAACATTAAGAATGATGCAGTGTGGGCTGGGAAGGTGGCTCAGTGGTAGAGCGCTTGCCTTGCATGCCTGAGGCCCTGGGTTCAATTCCTCAGCACCATACAAGCAAAAAGAAAAAAAGCTGGAAGTGGTGCTGTGGCTCAAGTGGTAGAGCGCTAGCCTTGAGCTGAAGAGCTGAGGGACAGCGCCCAGGCCCAGAGTTCAGGCCCCACAACCAGACCCCCCCCCCAAAAAAAAAAGAATGATGCAGTGACACAGAGATGGCACAGGAAGAGGGTTAGAAACTGTGTGTGTGTGTGTGTGTGTGTGTGTACATGTGTGCATATGCACCCTGGTACTGGGGCGTGAACTAACATTTTTGCTAGGCTTTTTTGCTGGTGATCTACCACTTAAGCTGTAGGTCCAGTTCTGGTTTTTTGCTGGTTAATTGGAGGTAAGTACTCAGTTTTGTTTGCTTGGGGCTGGTTTTGAGCCTCAATTCTTAGATCTCAGACTCCTAGGCCACCAGTACCCAAATGATATTATAAATAGCCTTCAAAAACAGAAGACTATAGAAAACTACACACCTCCTGTTCCACATATAAAGTCACTTTGGATATGCTCACAAAAAGTACTCAGCATGATACTTTCATGAGAAGGTGTACACCCTGGTTATCCATTTGGCCTAGGGAACATAGAAGGGAGACTCCACTTCCTGGGTGGGAAATGAATGAGGGCCCACAGGGACAGCGCCGAGCAGAGGCCCAGATAGGCACAGCCAGAGGACTGCAGTGCCATAGCACGCCATGAAGGGGACAGAGAAGAAGTCAGTCACAGGGCCACTGCCTAGCTACCCATTTCATCAAGGCCCTGGAGAATGTTTAGGATGTGTAAAAACAAAGTCAGGGCAGGAATCAAAAAGCCAAAATGTGACTGTTCTCTCCATGTTCCTCCCTGACCTCCTAGGAGGGCCATTTCCCCTCCGAGCTGTACACCCAGTCCAACCCCGCCACCACTCACCACCACCACAATCATGATTCCCACACAGTCCCCTGAAACTCCCACAATCACAGTGACCTTCCATATTCCTCCCAGACACAATTTTCTTTGGGAAAAAAAATGAGAAAGAGAAAGGGGGGAGGAGGGAAGGAAGGGAGGAAGGGAGGGAGGGAGGAAAAGTAGGGAAGGAGGGAAGGTTGGCTGAATTACAATGTAGACTCAGACTCAGCATTTAATATACAAAGAAGTTTATAAAAAGTGACAGAAAAAAATCACCACTGGCAAAGTGGCCTACCTCAGGATAAAGGTTGAACCTTTTCAACGTGTTAATGACGAGGGGGAACTCAGTGAGTCTGTCATTCATAACCATCCAAACCCCATTCAGAAAGGATGGCGCCTCCACGATGGTCTTGAAGTAGGAGTAATACAGGCCCTGAAACAAGGCCACTCCAGTTACAACACAGCCATGTACGGTTAGGTTTTTAGATGAAGAAATATTTACAGACACTGTGAAAATTTAAAAAGTTAAAATAAAAAAAAAACCAAGGCACTCAAGCAAGTAATAGCTACAGTTAATTTCATAGGCTGTGATCACTGATAAATTCTTATGTTGCAAAAAAATACGTATTTGAGAATAGCCTCATTTTAACTGAAATAATTAAATGAAAAAAAGCTTCAAAAAGTTTCAACACTTAAATATGTATACATATAAAACTCAGTGTCATGTATTTCATCTAAGAAAATTATATAATCCACACTAATGTGTAAGGAAAACCTACCTCATAACAAAGTGATTTATTATGGAGCTAAGATGTTCCAGTTATCAGAAACATGTCCCAAGCCAAAAAGCTGCTCCCTCTTAACCCAAAATGGCCTCTGTCATTTTTCCTCCAGATTTACATACAACACTCTTCAGTGTCAAGAAGACTGTACACTGGCCTGCACACATTTCATTCCCAATGTAATTGTTCAGATCACTTTCCATCACAGTAGATCAGCTGTGGGTCAGCTCTAGTTCAGTTTGATGTGCTATGTGGCAAGGGCTACCAGGGCCACTGAATACCCTGCCCAACGCTCTCCCTCCTGCCTAAAAAGTGACAAGGGCAAAAGTCTAATACTAAGGTGGGCTTACTGTATAAACAGAGGATTCATTTTCTCTGAAAAACAATTTACCTAATTCTGTTCACTAAAGAGGACTAGGCACAATGGCCAGTCCAGCAGCGATAACTTAAGACTGTGGAGCAACTAAATCATGGGGCCTAAATTAACCCACAGATTTGCTCTGAAGGATGTTAAGGGTCCTGGGATACTGACTGTGCAGGGTCTGGAAAGGATGCATTCCACAGGGCTGGAAAGCAAGGTGGCTGCAGGAACATTAGTGAGCTAGCACCCAAGGCAGTACCAACCAGGAAACTCGTGCCACTACAACAGGATGAAAAAGCCATTCAATTACCAGGGCTAACAACAGAAGCAATTCCAGTGGTTCTGACTACAAGATGCCAGAGGATCTGGTCATTTTTCTGACAAGTGGCAAATGAAAAGAAAGAAGCAGTTCCTGTCTTTCCATAAGAAGTGTGCCTTGGAGAAAAACTAAACAATTACTAGGGGAGTTCTTTATATAATTAGTCAATAAGTGCAGAAAAAGTAACAGAACACATAATCACCGTCTGGCAATCCTGCCAAGGCAGCTAGCCTAGATGGTTGGACTCCAAGGAGGACTGACAAAACTATTGCTAAAGCCATGGCTCAAACCAACCTTTCCGAAAGCAGGACAGTGGCTCCTGGCAATGCCACCACCAAAAGTGCAAGTGTTCCTGCTAAGGAAGTAAAATCTGCAGCTATCAGGAACTGAACCCATCAGTTTTCAAGGCAGAAGAACATAATAAACAATGTGAATTACTCTAGCTAATTGTAGAAAACAAAAATCCCTAGATTCTTCATGAATAAATGGCAGAACAGGCATTTTCAGACTAAACAAGTTAAGCGATATGTCAAGTCAATGCAGCATGATGATACTAGATCCTGATTTAGACACATCAACTTTTTGATGTGGCAATCAGGTCACTTAAACACTGATTTGTATCTGATAATATTGAGATATATACTGGTGGTTGTAAGTATGACAATGGTATTGTGGTGAACCAAAGTCTGTCTTGTAACATCCAGATTTCCTTCAACATGTGATGACTACAGGGCTGAGGAAGAGTGTGGTTGTCAAGTGTTCAGCTGAAAGAAGGTAGGGGAGAGTTGTCTACTCCTTTTACTTTCGAAAAACCCTGTGAAAATGTCCATGACAAAAGCCTTTAAACATCTTGGATTCCCCTGCTGGATGTGTTGATACACATGTATGGTTCCACCCTTCTAGAGAGTACCAATTTGGAGGCCAGCCTCAGCTACACAGCAAGACTCTCCTCAAAAACAGAAAGAAAGGAAAAATCCCTTCATGCTACAATAAAATACCACATGAAAACTAACCATTTCAGTGCGAAAAGCCATCTCCCGTTCCAGTGTTGAGAGGTGAGAAAAATGACGGTCATTTTCAAAGAGATGAGTTATATGACACCTGGAAAAATCACAATAGCAAATCAACTTATGAGTGCAACTTTAAAAGCAAAAGTAAATGTAGAAATGGGCAGATAACTTTGCAACAGAAGTAAAACACAAGGTATCTGTATGCTCTCCACCCATTATGTCTTAGCATTCCTACCAAAACTTCTCTTCAGAAGAAAACACATTCCAATTTTAAAATTAAAATGCACCAGAGCAATGATAAAGTGAGTGGATATAATAAAATATAAATTAAATTGTAAATGTCATTGAGTTACCATTTCAGAAATGCCTGTTTAATGAATTCATGTCTATCCAGAAGATTAAAAAAATTAATCTTCCTCTCAACATGTATACTATATTAATGTTAAGCAAATTAAGAGTATCAAATATAGCCTCTTTAATAATGAATATCTTTTTTATTAAAAATTATATCATTCTGACCCTGATATATCAATTAAACTACTTTTCCAGACAATTATGTTACATGTCATACACACTCATTCTTCAAACAGATGGGTAAGAGCTATGGGAAATTTTAAACACATGAACAAAATACATTTTTTTAAAAATCATCTCACCAGTGCAACACGGCTGCAAAGGCAGCTGTAAGAAAACAGAAATTTAAGTTAGTATTCTGCATCAAGAAATATGCCTACCTTACAGAGGCCTCTCCACAGACAAGCATGCCAAAGTACAAGGTGTGGAGCACTAGGCTGAAGTGACAGCCTGGGAGGACACTGGGTGTTTTGTTTTTTTTATTTTGGTTTTGGTTTGTCAGTCATGGGGCTTTAATTCTGGGCCTGGGCACTGCCCCTCAGCTCTTCAGCTCAAGGCTAGCGCTCTACCACTTGAGCCACAGCGCCACTTCTGGTTTTCTGGTGGTTAATTGGAGATATGAGTCTTACGGACTTTCCCACCCACGTTGGCTTTGCACCGCAATCCTTAGATCTGTCTCCTGAATAGCTAGGATTACAGGCGTGAGCCACTGACAGGACACTGGGTTTAGAAACAAGTACCTAGCACAGGCGGGGCAGACACTGAGCATCAACTTCATACTCACTCAGCAAAATATCAGTGACTCTTATTTGCCAAACACCATACAGGAGCCATTAGAAGGGGAAGACTGGAAGCAACACCAAAGTGGAACTCAAAGTAAAAATCATTTGGTGGCTTATGCCACAGGACTAGAAGTAGAAAGACAATACTACTTTTTACTTAAATTTTTACAATAAACCTTATTCGTTTTTAAATACAACAGGCACAACGCAAAAAAAAAAAAAAAAATCACCAATCTCACCGTCCCATGGAACACTGCACTACTGAGTACACAGTTAAGTTTCCTCAAGCACAAGCTGCACCTGACTACAGGCTTTTAGTTACAACAACATTGGTGCTCTTTACGACAGCTCTCCACTGGGATCCCCAGCCTGGCCCAGCCTGGACCCCAGGTCCCCAGAGACAGAGCCCAGGGGCAGATTGACAGGCAGACCTGGGACACAGGGAAGAGGACACCCCCTGGTCCCACCCCCAAGCCCACCAGAATTGGTAATCAGCAGGAGGTTGAGGGAGGAATGAACTCAGTTTCCTAACAAAGATCTTGGGCTTCAAACCAAGAAGCAGGATTACTTTTAGAATTCACAAGTCTACATGAAACTGGTTTACTTCACTGAATGGGAATCTCCTGCAAAAATCTGTCATTGAGCAAAACAGTACTTTACAACAGTTAAGAGAAAAATGAGAAACTCTTCATTCTTATGGTGCTAACATCTTCTAACAGCATTTTCTGGTTCTAAGCAGCAATGACCCAGGACTCCTGTGGAGGAAGATTGAGGCCCTTTCTCTCTTGTCAGACGAGGTCACGTGTGGAAAGAGTCCCACTTCCTGTCTGAGCTCAAGCATAACTGTTAACTACAGTTCACCAAAGAGCGCACAGATGCACAGGGAGATGCCTCAGAAATTGCCACAGCATCAAGGACAAAGTGAACAGGAAAGTGGCAGAGCACAGGAGCCTGCACCCATACAGAATACAACCAGGCTTCCAGAGAGGAAGGTAAGGAGTAAGAAAAATGTAAAAATTTATGTACAAGCATTAAAGTAGACCACAATACAATTACCCAACATGCTTTAAAAGCAATAAATTCTAATTCTTTTAAGTCTCAGCCTTATTTACTGTGAACACAAATGACTCTAAATCAAAGAGTATCACACATCAATAACTTTCATAAAGTAATGTCTCCTTACTGGGAAAAGAAAGCAATGCCTGTGCTTTAAAAACAAATAGATAAATATACAACCAAAATAATACATGCCTGGAAAGTGTGGAAGCTATGTCCACTCAATGGAGGGAAAAAGATATACATGCATGCACTAACATGCTCATGTCCTCATAAACCACTCCAATCTCAGGACTAAGACATCCCTCCCAACTGCAAACCTCCCTTGCTTATTGTTTAATTTAAATGATTAAGAAAAATGTGACATTTAGTTACTCTTTTATTCTTTTTTATAGCATTGCCAAGAAATCAGACAACCCAATTTTTAAAATTCAGAATCTGTAGTTTTCAAAAATTATTTCTGGCTGGCTGCTGGTATTGCACAACCGTAATCCTAGCCACTCCAGAAGCTGAGATCTGAGGGTCACCATTCAAAGCCAGCCTGGGCAGGAAAGTCTGAGAGACTCTTCTCTACAATTACCCAGCAAAAAGCTGGAATGGAGCTATAGCTCAAGTGGTAGAGTGCCAGCTTTGAGCAAAGTACCTAAGGTACATCATCCAGGCTCTGAATTCAAGCCCCAACACCAACACACACAAAAATCACTTATGCAAAGACAAAACAAAGACTGACAGGTTAGCCATAGCAATGAAAGAAGCGAATGCTCCCACACGGTACTCAGGCATCATCCCTCCAGGGCCCCTCCCAATGTTACAGGTTGCCTTCACATCACCAGGACTTTTGACTACTGAAAGATTTTAGATCTAGAACTCCCAACCTAACAGACAGATAATGCCAAGAGAGCTTACCTTTGATCTCAACCCTCACCCAGGGTACTGGAGAACATGGGCCATTCATCTGAACCCTGCTCAGGAAAGCTCCGTGGCATCAAAGACCTTTCCACTAGTACCGAGACACAGGAAAACTATCCCCACTCCCTATACGCATTCTGGAGTGAGCCCAGCCACTGGCAAACAAATACATGGGTTTGTAGTCTTTATGAAATGTCAACGTCACTAACATTTAAGAGGCATGAACACATATAGTACACATACATTAATCCAAGCCAGTACTAGTAGCTCATGCCTGTAATCCTGGTTACTCAGAAGACTGATCTGAGGCAGTTCTTGGATGACCTTGCTCCCATACACGCCTTCTCTGCAGTGCAGACAAGGGCATGGCAGCAAATCCTGGGGTGCTTCCATATCACTTGGGGGTTCCTCACACCTGCTCACACTTCTGCAAAGAGCCCCTTATTAAATCTGCTGCCTGCTGGAACACAGACACACAGGTGAGGACACAGATGCCCAGGTACTAAAGCAGGAGAGGCTGCACTGTTTACTGTGGGCTGTAGTCACAAAGTTTGAGAAACTGTCCATGCTCTTTCTACACCACTGCCACCTCTGGCAGACCACAGGGAGTACCTGTGTTGGAATGTCTAAAAATAGGCAGTTCAAGAAACTCTCTTTGTAAATGCTCCCTTTAAATAATGTCCGAGTGTAAGAATAGCCTTTATAACAATGCTTCTCACTGCCCAGCAGTGGAAAGGGTCACCTTGGTAAGTGTTTTACCAGTGCCCAGCACATGTGGAAAAGAACTTCAGACAGTGTGTAACACTTGGAAATAACTGCTTCTAGTCAGGTGCAGGCTCATGCCTAAAATCCTACCTACTCCAGAGACTGATATCAGAAGGCCTATAGTTCCAGACCAACTTGAGCAATATAAATTTAAAAAATTATTGAAAGATCCCTTCTCAATCAATATAAAGCTGTGTATGCTGGTGTGTGCCTGTCATTGTCCAGGCCAGCCCAGGAAATAGTAAAACCCTATTTAAAAACTACTGAAACCAAAAAGGACTGAGGCGAGACTCAAGTAGTAGAATACCTACCTAGCAGGCTTAATTAAATTTAAACACACACATGCATACACTTTAGCGCTCCACCCAGGAGGCAGGACACTGTACTGGCTCACCTCTCACCTCGCCCTCACTCCCACAGGGGAAAAAGAGAAAAAGAGGCAGCTTTCTATCAAGCCTCATTATCTTGGATGCTTTGAAAAGCATGGGGTGGGGAAGGAATGGGTCCTACAGGGGGACAGGCCCAGGGATGAACAAGCACCTAGCCCCAGTTGTGAGATATCCTGTGTCCTCACCATAGATGGTCAGCTAGGGCAGGAATTCTCCAGCTCATGGCTGAAAGTTCATCCACCCTCCTTACATCTGATAACCACTCTCTCCACTATACCCAAGAAGAGACAAGCAGGCCAAGTGCCACCCTGCCACAGAATCCTACCTCAGTATGGACATGGCTAAATCCACATGTGAGTCCACTGACAGAAGCAAATTCAAAGGAAATGCAGTTACAAGAAAAATACGCCAAAAAGGTAATAGACACCCTATTGTTATTCTTGGACCTGTACGGTCACTCAGGGAAGCGATCTAAACCACAGTCACTATTCACAGTAGCCACTCTGGGCTGAGATCTCAAATCAGGATCACACCTTTGCTTTTATAATGGCAACTAAAACTCGTCAGTGCGAAGGACCACCGGGCCACACTAGGAGGAAAGGAAGGAAGAAGCCTGAGATATAAACCACCCTGCATGGCTCCGAGGCCGAGCCTTCTCTGCTGGGCCTCATCCCTGGTCTTGTGCTGCCTCCCAGAGAACTCAAGCAGCAAACGGTGGGTCTGCCGGCTCGCCGCTGGAGGGGGCCCAGGAAGCGCTAAAACGACTCCGTTTTTCTACAGAAGGAAAGCCCCCCTTCCCCGGGGCAATCCCCCCAGTCCCGGAGGCACAAGGACCCAGCCTTGAGGGCACCAGTTCCCGGCCTTTGGAGTCCAGCGGCTTCCCGCAGGGGCTGCGACCTCCCTCCCTAGCGGGCCGCCGGCGCTGTGCCAGCCTGAACTCGGGGCCTAAGGGAACTTCAAGTCCGCCGGGGGGGGGGGGGATGTCCGAAAGATGGAGAAGGAAGGACCTGTTACAAATGAACTCGTTCCGGGGCCAAAGCCCCTCAAGGCAATCTCCGCTCGAGGCAGGGCGGGCGCGTGGTTGGGGTGGACTTAGCACAACTAGGCCACTCACCCAAACTCCCCACGCTGGGACGCGGTCAGCTAACAAAGGAAGCCAGAAGTCGGTCCTAAGTACCCAGGCTACAACTTTCGGTGTCGCACACCCCAGGCCGGCCACGTGGGGGGGGGGGGGGGGGGGGGGGG